CCTCAGTGCAGCTCATTTTGAGGCATGCTCGTAAGTATCCACAGGAGATACTTTTTATTTAAACATAAAACCAGGTTGGCCTTGTTAGAGACCTCTCGCAAGAGGAGAGGTTATAAGCATTTTTCCTGTTTGTCTTTAGTTTTTCCATTAGTCTGATCACTTTTTTCCCCAAGAGTAGCTTGCAAAAGCCTCAGAGAGCAGCAGCTTCCATCCTTCTTGAGGGTCTGTCTACTTAGGCTGTTGATATTGTATACATCCTGTGTATGCTATAGCTGGTTTACTCCCACACACTACAGGTGAATACCACCTCCAGCCACTTACCAAACCCCCAGAGTGCATTCAATTAGCACAGAACAAGTAACCTATTAACTCACAAGAGTTGTTTCCAAGAGGGTTTACCTGAGCTTTGAAATAAACTCTCTCCTCCTCCTTTCAGCCCAGAAGCACTGCTGCAAAGCAGTCATCACCACATAAGAGCCACTCTGTGCTCAAGGGGAGCTCTCCCCCCTCCCTCCCCATTCAGGTGGAGTCTCCCTCAGCCACTCCTCTCTAGCCAAAAAATTTCTGAGACTGACCATCCCACCCTCCCACCCCCAAAAAATCATCTCTTTCAGGATGGTGCAAATCCCAGCAAACAGCCCCAAACTAGCAGCCAAAAGCACAAGCCCCCACAAAGTGGGGGCTTGTGCTTTTGGCTGCTAGTCATCAATAACCTCAAAGCCAACTCCACCTACCACACACCAACCAGACAGCTCCGAAACACAAAGACAACCAACCTGCCACACCAAGTGCTAACTACACATAAGACACTTCCAAAAACTAATACAAACCTCAAAGGCAACAAAACCAACCAGGCACATGCCAACATCTTATGCCTACCTGTTACCTCTGCTCCTTCACCAGATCAGGACCCCACACTCCAGCACAGAAGGGCTTCTCTCACTTCACTCCGTTCCTTTAGACCTGCAAGAAAAGCATACCACACTCAGTCCCAGCCATAAACTCTATCCCAGAGGCAGCACACAGGTAAGGGATGAACAGGTACAGCTCACCTTGCTCCACAGAGGCACCACTGGGCTCCTCATTCCAGCCCTTAACATGCAGGAAGAGTCATGAACCAGTTCCACCCTCCAGTGGGAGGGTTCACATCACTCACAGCCAGTCCTCACCCTGCAACAAGAACAATATCACAGAGCCATACAGAATGGAAACACCCCTCTAGAAATCATCTGGCCCACTTCCCTACCACACATCACCCAGGAAAGCATCCAGACTACTGGAATGAGCCCCAGCAAAGGGGGCTGAGCAGCCTATTCCATCCCTCCCACTTTGTTCATTCTCCTTTCTGTTTGCATAGACCTTCTGGTGTTCAAGACAATGAACACTTCCCCCCCAATGCTACCACCCTTCTCTCATCTACCTGGACAATCAATACAACATACAAAACTACCATTTGGCCCAGCACAATTTCCCCTCAGTGAATCCACCTTGTCTGCTCCTTGGAAATTTCTCTTCCAGTCACTTGGAGATGACACCTGGAACAAGTTGTTACATCACCTTTCCAGAAACAGAGATGAGGCCATGCTTCTCACCCTTTCTGAAGGCCTGCAGTGACGTCAGCTATCCTCCAGTCTTCAGGCACCTTTTCTGTAGGAAAGAGCAGAGGAAACATGATAGAGCACTATTTGGCAGTCACCTCTGCCAGCTCCCTCAGCACACTCAGGCATTTGCTGGCATCCATCTTGCCAAAACTACCTTTGACCAGCTCCTCCACAATCAAAAGGAAGTTATCTTTCCTCCAGAATCCAGGGCTCCTGAGAAGCAGTCTCACTGCAACAACTGAAGACAAAAAGGCATTCAGTGCAGAAACACATCCCCATTACCAGTGCCTCCACCTTGTAAAGCAGAGGCCCACACATTCTCTAGTCTCCTTTTCTCTGTTGAAAAACTTTTGTTAGCCTGGACCCCCCTCCTAAAGGGGGTACTGAGAGGACCTTCACCTTCCTCAGCCCTTCTTTCTCTCAGATGTGAAAAGAAGAGAGATCTGAATGTGTGGAGTGAGGTGAGAGATCCTGCTGAGGATACACGATATACCATAGCATTCTCCAGGAGAAGAAGCAGGTTGTGTCATATGTAGGTCTCCACTGAATTAACTCCACCCAAAACAATCTAAAACTGTCGAGTGAACAGAGCCAAAACCAACTTCAACAACACATACACATCTCCTTTTGGGGGCAGTGTTTGAGCAGAATAGATATTTTATATCCCAAGAGGATATAAAAGCACAAAATCATCAATTGTCAATACCAATGTTATGTGAAATCCACAAGTACTTTTTTTTCTTTTTTCTTTTTTTTAAGAAAAATGAGACTTGTTGGAACAAACATGCCAACCTTCAGTGCTCAGGTGGATTGCAAACCAAAGTAGAACAAGGGGCCAGCAAAAACATGGTGCTCCACATTCTCAATTTAATAAAGCACAGTGGAATGCCCTCAAATAGCATGAAATTCAAAAGCCTTTGGTCGGACTGAAACATTGTGGCAGGCAGATGTTTGTAAACGTGCTAAACTGTAAATCTTACTGTTGATAGAATTTGCTGTTAAACACTTACTGGATACAACGTGACAGCCAAGCTGGATGAAAAGGAGAATGTACGCGAACACCCAGAACTAGCAGACCCAGGGCAGTGTGTCTGGGCTTGAACTAGGCGCTGAGAGTAAGTTCAGACAACGTTTATACATGTTTTTAATACTGAAATTGATCTCCATTGGGACTTAGTTAAGGCAAGCTGTACAAAGTTAATCTCATTTCCTTTTATATTCCATTTCATATTTAATGTACGTTACAAGGGAGATACTGCTCTATGCTTCATTACTTTAATCACTGTTCTGTCCTATTGTAGTTCAACAATGCGTGCAAGTATTCTTGTTAGAGGCACGGTCCTGAGAAGACGGCTGGGGAGCTGAACAGCATTTCTATTTCAGCTGCTGAAGCGTCCAGTAACTTTGGATGTCACCCAAACCCTCAGATGGAATACTTCCAGGCATTTTCATGGGGATTGGTACATAGCAGTATGCCATAACTACTGTTGCCAATTTGGGGTGAGCACAGTAAAGTGCATTTAGAGAAGAATGTACTTGAATGTAGCATACATGAAAAGCTTATTTTAATATTTTAGACAGCTAGATGTAATGTTGGGGTCTTAGAGCATTTTTCTTTGGTGGTCCAGGTTTTTGAAAATCCTAGGAAAATATTTGGAAATGAATATTGTTTTCACATGCAATACAATTGCAAGAGGGGGATGTTTCACCCTTCTCAACAAAGTATCTGTGTTGATGAGAGTCTGTAAATGACTATAGAACTGACAAAGAAGTCCAGAAACATTTTCTTCGGTTCTGATTTTTATTTTTATTTGTTTTAACAGTGAGATTAAAAAAAAAAAAAAAAAAAAAAAAAAAAAAAACCCAAAAAAAAAAAAAAAACCACAAAAAAACATTGTCCATGTCCTTGCTCTGCGGGTTTGGGATGTATTGTTGGTTTTTTGTTTGTTTGTTTGTTTTTTCCTGGGAAGTAAAACAGGATAGGATATTGGTAATAAGGGCAAGTGGATTTATTACTGAGCAAGTTGTACGCTATTTGACAGAACATTCCTGAATTCCAGTGTTGATAGCAGTTGGTGCTGCCTTTTCTGAATCTTTTACTTAGTTTGGAGTTCTGGGAAGTGTTTGTGGGTTTAATCAATTTACACTTTTGATAAGTAAATGCATTCCATGAGTAATGGATTATTGCTAAGAAAAGATGAATGGAACAATGGATGTTCTATTTTACTATATATCCTGGGAAAAGTTATTCTTTTTTTTTCAGATTATAACCCTGCTTTTCTTAGTACAATATTATATACTACGACATACTGTCTTACAGTATCATGAGGAGAACCTCTGGGATGATGTAGTATTAGCCTGAAAAATCCCTTTACTGGATCACTAGTATTGTTGTTCTGATGTTATGTAGCCAGTTCAATGAGAACATGCAGGAACTGTATGCACATCGAAATCAATTTACATGATATTAATGTCTTTTTAATCTCAACTGTATGACACTGTATTTTTCAAAGTACTTCAAACTACAAACAAAAGTAAACTTCAAACTAGAAAATGAATGCCCTGAATTATGTCTTCCAACGCATAAACATTAATTTTCCCCACATTTCCAGAAACAACTTCAGCACAGCCTAAACCTACTGCCTATCGTGGCTCTTAAATAAAGTTGCATTTTATGAATAGACTGCTCAAACAAAGCACTTGAAAAATAGTAATATCCTATGTTAATTTTCCTACTGTGTTCTGATCTCCAGGATGGACGCCTGTGCTACGCACCATCTGTACCACAGCCACTTCCCTCAGGTCCTGGGAGCCTTGTTCCAGGCAGTCCCTTTGCCTGGCTGACATGAAGGGTCAATGGCCTTTTCCTCGCAGCTGATGAGAGCCATTTCTGCTGCAGGCTGTTTTGGCATCACCCATCTCTGGAAGCATCTTATGTGCCGTATCCATCATGTGTGGCCTTCATGGACCCCTTTTCTACCATTGTTACAATGAGAAAGAACGTAGCCAGTGACAGAATGAAACGAATTTAGCAAACACAAACTGCAGGGCACAGCCATTACGTGAGTGTTTCCAACCACGGTGTGTAAATGAGTTATAAAACAGTCTATAGCAGGTCTACAGAACAAAGATATCCTGAGTTGACAAATAAATTGTGTCTTTCCTACATCAGGTATCACTTTTTTTCACTCTTTTTCCTCCATAACAGTATCTCAGAGCTCAGAAGGGATTTTTGATATAGGGGCAGAGGTGGAAGGTGTCACACTGAAGAATTCCTTTAAAAATCTATTTTTTTTATAGATCTATTTTATTAGATCTATACATTATATACATTTTAGATCATTACATATTTACATATTAGATCTATACATTATATATACATTTATTAGATCTCATACATCTATTTTATTTTTTAATTACTTTTGTGGGCATCTACAGCTCAGAAAGGAACACCTGATGTGTAGACGACTGTTAAAAGAAACACTGAAATGGAAGAAATGAGCTCCCCACAGGCAGCTCTGCCAGGTGACCGTTTGTGGGGTGAGATCACCTGTGAGGCAGCTCTGCCCCGAGGGGCCGGGCAGCAACGCCCGAGAGAAGGGCCGTGACCTTTGGGTGACGCCGGCCCTGACCTTCAGGTGACCCCGACCCGGCCGCCCTCAGCTAGGAAGGGTGGGAACGCTCAGGTGAGCAGAGAAAGCGGCGGGAAATGACAAAGGCGGGAAACGACAGCAGCGTTCTAGGCTCCTATTGGCTGGCCGGCAGCCTGGACATCTATATAAGGTGCGCGGGCGGACAGGTGAGAGACGCAATCTCCACAGTGCGTGAGAAGGAGCGGGGGATTCATGAGAGAAAGGCAGAGCGTAGAAGCAGCGGCGACGAAGGCGGCAAGCGGTCTCCAGAGCTGAGGTACGAAGGGGCCGAGGTGCGGCGAATTTGGGCTGAGGCGGCGCGCCGGCGGGGGCTTCGTGAGGCGGCGCGCCGGCGGGGGCTTCATGAGGCGGCGCGCAGCCGGTGGTGGCGGCTCCTGACCCACACCACGCTTGGCAAACTGCTGTGTGGGATAAGATGCTACGAGACAACAAAAAGCAGCTATAATAAAGGAGATTTATTAGCTGTTGCAGTTTTCATTCATACAGGCTTACTTAATTACAAATCTTAAATGGGGCTGTGGGTATGGGCAAGGACATGAGATACTCAGTGTGGTTGGAAGGTGTGAAGTTCTGAAGTACAGGTCTGCTACCTAAGAAGCTAAAGGTGATAAACAAACTATAGGAGAAAAAGGTAGGATGCTCCAACAGAAATATAAATTTGAATGTCAGGTTGTTAATTCTCCTCTAAGGCAATAAAATTTAAAAACTAGCGGTCTCACTTGTATCATCATCAGGGAATGAGCAAATAAGCTAAAATTACAGAACACAGAACCTGACATGAACAAAAAGACGTGACGATCTCTGGTCAAAAAAAAAAACCCAAAACACATCACTGCTGCAAGGGGACCACTCAAATGAAAAAAGAGCTAAGATGGTACAATGATTACCTTCGTATGGAAAAATTACTGCAGAGAGAAGGAGAACCTTTGCAACGGAGCCAGTGGCTGGGGGTCCCCTGTAAGCAGGGAAGCTGACTCTTTGGCCACTGCTTTCTGCGTGCCCAGCCTCATTTGCCCAGTCTGCCCGCCTCTGTGATCTCCCGCGGCACCGGCTGGAAGTCCTCCGGGCGTCAGTGAGGTGAGGAAAAGCTGCTCAAAGTAGTTTTTGCTGGGATGAGCTTGGGGGCTGGCTGAGGGGAACGGGGGGGCAGGGGAGAGGGTTGCAAGGCCTTCCTTGGCTGGGTGGTCGCGTGCCGGGTTGTTTGGCGACGCTGCGTTTGCCTTTTCCTTCAGGTGGGAGGCTTGCCACTCCGCAGGTCTAACGGTGTCCCCACTGATGTTTCAGGAGCTGCTGCAGAAGAAAGAAGAAGCGGCGTGGGGACCTGGGAGGCAGGAGCGAGCAAGAAGAGGAAGCCGAAGCGTGCAGATGCGGGGGGGAAGGAGAGAGGCACCCTGGGCAAAGCACCTGTCCCGTTAGCGGGGGCGCAGTCCCATCTGAGTCGAGCGTTGCCGGCGCCTTTGGCGATCTGGCCGGCTTTGTGCTGGGCGACCTCCCTGTAAGCAGGGCTCGGGTCTTTGCTGTAGTTGGCCTTTTGCCTTGCTGCTCCTTTGGCTGCCTGGGGAGCGTGGCCCCCTGTAACGCAGGGCGAGAGCCACCTCTCCGCACCCGAGTGGGAAACGGAGCTCGCCGGACCCCGAGGCCACCCTGTAAGCAGGGTAGTGCCGTTTCCCTGCCCCTCTTCCTCCTCCGGCCCCTCGGCATCGTTGCCTGGTGGTGGCCTGTCAATGCGACGGCCCCGTACTCGGGGTGTGCGTCGAGGCCTCTGGCTTTACCTGCGAAGCCCCTTGGCGCGTTGAGGTCTGTGGCCTCCGTGCAGGCTAGGGACAGGTCACAGGCTCTTGTCTGTTGCCCGTGGTTGTGGGTTTATTCCCAGGGTTTGGCTGCGCTGCGTTGTCCTTCCCTTCTGGAAAGTCGTGCCTGTGTGCGTGTTCCCCTTCCTTTCCGTGTTTGTGTTTGTGGAGCGACTGAGCTTTCCCTTTAGGCCCCCACAAAGATGGCTGCAGCTTAGCTTTGGCTTCCCGGGGGGGAATGGAGGACTTTGGCGCATGCCGCAAAAGGGGTGTTCCCTCTTAGTCCCACGAGCGCAGCGAGTGTCCTGTCTTCCTCCTTTTTACTTAGTACAGATCAGAGCCACACGGTAGCCCTGTGGCCGAGGCCACCCTGTAGCCAGGGCTTGGGCCTGTCCTTGCTGGCGGCGTGACAGCCCCGTACTCGGGGTGCGTGTCCCGAGCCGCGGAGCCCTCTGTCCCTGAGCAGCCCGCCCGCCCTGTAATCAGGTGTGGGGAGGCTGCGGCGTTGCAGCCGGCTGCTTTAGCCATCCAGCTGGTGGGAATGACCCCTCCCTGTCCCGTCAGAGGGTGCAGGTTGAGGTGCTGCTTGTGTGTGGAGTGACCTCCCTGCTCGCTGGGTCGAGGTTGCTTCCTAGGCTCCCAAAAACAAGACGTTGGTGATGTTGTGCTGCTGCCGGGCGGGCCAGCCTGTAGCTCAGGCGTTGGCGGGAGCCTTGCGCTCCGCGGGGCTTCTTGGAGAGGGTGAGGTGTGGGGGTACCGTCCTGTAGGCAGGGCTGTGCGTGCCCCCTGTGTGTGCTTGGGGAGCTGCGTTCTGAGAGACCCCCCCCCGTACTCGGGCGGGAATGTGGCCCCGGCCTTTCAGAGGCACGGGGCCGCGAGATGTGGGGTTGGGCTTGCGCCCTCCCTGGAATCAGGGTTGGGATCCTGACAGCGGCCTTTGGCCGTGCCGCCCCGCTGCCTGGCTGCTGAGAGTTGTTCCTGCCGCTGGGGGGGAAACCGAGCTCTGTGGCTCCAGGGGTGTCGTCCGCCCGCCTGTAATCAGGGTCTGGGTGAGTGAGCGTTTGTGCTCTGCTGGCAGCCTGTGTGGGGTGACCGCCCCGCTAGCGGGGTGTGGGTCGAGGTGCCCCGGACTGGGAGAGAAGGAGCCTCCCTCGGGCGTAGGGATGGGGGCTGCCCTGTAAGTCAGGGAGCACCTGTGCCCCGCAGTCCCAGGCCCTTTGCAACGGAGCCAGTGGCTGGGGGTCCCCTGTAAGCAGGGAAGCTGACTCTTTGGCCACTGCTTTCTGCGTGCCCAGCCTCATTTGCCCAGTCTGCCCGCCTCTGTGATCTCCCGCGGCACCGGCTGGAAGTCCTCCGGGCGTCAGTGAGGTGAGGAAAAGCGGCTCAAAGTAGTTTTTGCTTGGACATGTTTTGGATGGGATGGTGTGGGGGGGGACTGCAAGGCCTTCTTTGGCTGGGTGGTTGTGTGTTGAGTTCCTTTGCTTCTCTGGTTATTCCATTTTCTTCAGTTGGAGGATTTTCTGCTTATCTTGTCTCATGCTTCTTGTTTCTGTTTCAGGTGCTGCTGCAGAAGAAGCGGCACATGGAGCTTGGAGGCAGGGGGCAGCGTGATGTGTAAACTACTGGCTGTTAATCTTACGAGTTATCTTTGGCCTTTGGTAGCCACTGTTCTTATGTGCGTGGAGGATTTGATTGCTCTGCTTTTGATAGTGTTGTTTCCTGAGTATTAGCTTGTTTTTCATGTTGGTCTTCTGTTGATATCTACTATTAGTCTCCTTATGTGTTTAATTTTGGTGTTAAATAAAGTCTTTTTTTCTTTAATCCTCTTTTTTCTTACTGGTTCAATTTTTTTTGCCAACTTCTCTCACAGAATCACAGAATGGCCTTTGTTGGAATCGACATCAGCTATCATGGTTCTCCTACCACACTGCCACAGGCAGGACCACCACCCTCCTTATTTGATAGTACACCTAGCCTTGATTGCCTGCTGGGTCAGAGCATCCACAACCTTTCTGGGCTACCTATTCCAGCACCTCACCCCTCTCCTAGTGAACAACTTCTCTCTGACATCCAACCTAAATCTTCTCTCTCTCAATTTGAAATCATTTCCCCTTGCCCTGCTGTTATCAATCGTTTGTGAGTGTTGGCTCCCCTCCTGTTTGTAGGCTCCCTTTAGGTACTGAAAGACTGCAAATAGGTCATCCTGCAGTCTTCCCTGCTTTTCTCCAGGCTGAACCAGCCCAGCTCACTCAGCTTGTCTTCATAGGGAAGGTACTCCAGCCCCCTGATTATCTTTGTGGCCTTTCTCTGGACCTTCTCCCACAGCTTTCTGTGTTTTCCTCCCTCATTATGGAAAATCATAGAAGCTGAGGTGAGGATATTGGTGGATTTTGGTGCCTAGGGCTGACCGATGTAGCACAGCTCTTCCCTTAATCTCGCCCATGTCTTGTGTCAAGCAGCCTCAAGTGCAAGTTTTCATTCAGGTAAGATGCCTCCCTTCCATGTTTGCTTGTGCTTAAGTCTTCTCCCATTGCATTTTTTTTCAGAGCCCGATCTAGCCAAATGCTAGACATTTATTTGCATTTATGGGACAAGCGGGTTGTGCTCAGGGGTGGTTTTATGTCCCTGGTTCCCCATGAACTGTCAGTGTTGTTCTCTGCTGGTGCTTCATTCCTTCTCTTTTTTCAAACTGGTTGTTACTGCATGTTCTGTGATAACTTGGTCTTGATTGATGGGGTAGGTGATTTTGCTTCTATGATGCTGTGGCTATTTTGGTGGGTAGCTTAGTCATTTGAGTCTTTTGGCTCTTTTCTCTGCTTCCTGGGTGGGGGGGAAGGAGGAGAGACCAGGACAGAGGATACAAGTAGAACTAGCTGCTGTCTAAGAAGGAGAGTGGGGTAAAAAGAGCGTTAAAACGATACCAGCAAATGGGAAAGGTAGAAGGATAAGTCACCACAAAGGGAGTAGCAAAAGGTGTGATATGTTCTGATAATCAGCTTAATGCTAAGAGTGCTACCTGAAGTTAAGTTCTGAATGTTTTCTGATTGCTGTTGTAAATCCAGTAAAACTTAAATAGGTGTAAGCACTCTGTGTACAAGCTTCAATAATATTTCTGTAGCAATGCACAGGGATAGAAATAACTTTTCCAGTATAGATTTTCCTGAACAAGTATCTATAGCGTCCCACCTCAAATATGTGGATCAGCCAGTACCTTGCAAAGACGTCTGTCTTTCACCTCCCTGCTTTGTTAGTTTATCTTTTCAAAGAGAACTGTGAAATCTTTCAGAACTTGCCATATGATATCCTTTTTTCAGGTAGAAAGAAGAAAACCACTTTTGCCTGTAGGTATACAGAGCATGCTGAAAAGATCGTATTTTCAGACTTCTTGCATCATTTAGAATTTTTCTGGATCAAAGGCCAAACTTTTTTGAATATGGGCTAGAAAATGGGAGCATTAAACTGAGTGTATAAATTTCTATAGTCTGACAGTCTCAGTGACACCTTCATAAACTAATTGCCTTAATTTGATGGCTTTTATAGAAAAAAAGAGTTTATAATTAATAGGTCTTGCAAAGTTGGAGATAATCCTACAGAGATGATTCTGTATTTTCTAGTAGACTAGATAGAAATTGTGTGCGAGAGAGATGTCTGTGTATACTACATATACCCCAGCTATGTATTTAGAGCCACATGATGCTAGACCCATCAGAGCCTGACTTGCACGGGGAAATCACCATACACATTGAAAAGAAAAAAAGGCATAAAAAAGCAGTGTACTACTGCCATTTCGCCCTCAAGGAATGGAAAAAATGATTGGATGATCTGCTTACTGCAAAGCTCTTCACGAAAAATGGAAAATGCATGCCACCAGTTTTCATAGGCTTTACCTAAAAGCCTCTGAAGAAAGACAGTATTCAAAAAGCATATTTAGATAAACCCAAGCATATTTCAAGAGAGAAGACTTACATCCCTGCCACTGCACAGAATGTTTCTGTGCCGCTCAACTTACCTACTGTATGAAGTCTCCAGCATCAGCCCTAGGATCCTGGAAGGCATCACTGGGGTGAGCCAGAAAAACCCCACAGAAAATAAAGTAGGTACCAATAAGTGTTTCTCTACACGGATTTTAAATTATTCACTCTTGAGACTTTTCTGTGTCTAGCTCAGTTGAGATGCATTCCAAGTGAAATAATAATAGCTTTTACTTGCATTTTAGCTGGATTATTAAGACTATATAGTAATAAGTTGTTAGATTCATATGTTCCCCTTTGACATGAACAAGTTTTTGAGTGGAAAAAGATATGCCATACCTGGGAAGTGCAACAAGCTTGAAATGTGTATCACAAATTATAATTGATTTTGCCTTGCATTAGTTTTGAGCTTTTACAGTACAAAATAACAACAGTATACAGAGTAAAATAATATGGTTTTCATTAAACCAAGTTATTCATGAAAAGTTGGGAAAAAAAGAAGCATAAAAGATCTAAGCAGACTACAAAACATTTGATCTTTAATAAAGAAAACTTGTTGTTTATCTTCTAATGAACAGCAGCATCCTCTACCACTGCAGCCTGTCAGCACCACACAGCTGTAAATCCATCTATCGGACCACTTAGTTACATATCTTTTCCTCTCCACAATACTCAGTTTCTGTGTTTCACTACCTCAAAAATATAAAACTTTATTTGATTTTGAATTTTTATGTAAAATATATTTCCATATGAAATATAATACTATCGTTTTTTCCAGAACAATATTTTATATTTTCCCCTTTACCCTTATCTGCTGGTAAAGCAAAGCTGGCACATACAACCCAGTAACTACAGAGAGTGACTGGCAAAACTCCTGCTTGCTTAGGACAAGCTGCCAAAGTGCTTCAGACATGGGGTGAGAAGGGAGAAAGATAGTTCCTTAGAAACAATGGCTGCACACACATTCACTGTTCTGCAACCTGTACTGTTTTCATTTTGTGACATGTTCTTATTTCTTAAATTTACTGGTCCCTTATTTTGGAAAGGTAGCTTCCACTGAGAAATTCTGTTCATAGTTTTAAAAGTTTATTAGTAGGCTACTTCTTTCTCAAAAAAAAAAAAAAAAAAAAAAAAAAAAAAAAAAAAAAAAAAGTGTGTTTTCTTTATTGGCATGTGTTATAATTTCCTAATGCACAGTGTTAATTATTGTTGACTGTCCCTACCCAGCCATCCCCTTATCTTTTCTGCCCTCTAGCGACCAACCAGGCTTCTAAGTAAATTAAGCGCTCTTCAAAAATCATGTCCCAGTTAGGGCAAGTCATGCCACTAAAAAAAATGTGCTGCATAGCTAGAGGCTACTACACAAATGACACACACAGAATCCATCATACCACCATGAGTCTCTTCAATGGCTGATAGCAGTGGCGTCAAGACTCCGCTCTTTCTCTATGAAACACCCTGCTGGGTGAGAGCTGGTAAATATATTTCAGCAGTGGTGTTCTAACTCTATTGAATTTTACTGTTTATCTCATGGAAGAGACAAACATTGAAATATGATTTAAATGTAGATTTATTTTACATGATGTGACCCTATAAAAGGCAATCGAGTCTGAAAAGCAAGTCTTTGACTCACTGAATGGCCGATCGAATCTTGCTCTTAGAGTACGTTTAAAAATAATTTTCCTTTTGGAGTGTCCTGCTGTGGTTTTACACTCCAGCTGTTGGGAAACTGTAGTGGAAAGGGATGTCAGTCTATAGGTAACTTAGTGTAATGGTATGAAGAGAAAGGGGAGTTTCTCTATTTAGATCTAAAATAGCAATACATTTTATACTCAGGGCTTTTTCTAACTCTCATTGTTTTTCAGTAGCATTTCAGAGTGGTTTTTGCCAACGAAGCATAAGTAGAGTTCATACCAAACTAGTAAAATGAGTTCTAGTTGTAAAGTTCTATCAAGGGCCTTGGTAACAGGATGCATTCACACGGACACAGGTATTTATTCTTCCACAGACACATAACCTCTTGGTCTGCTTTGAAGCAGAAGCACTGATACTAAGGAACATGATTTAGTGGGCAACATTGGTAGCAGGCAGATTGTTGGACTAGATGATCTTACAGGTCTTTTCCAACCTTAATGATCCTATGAATTTGAACTTAATGCATTTGCTACTTCTGCCGTAGGCCTGAAGAAGCATCTATGAACTCAAAAGCCTGTATACTTTTTCCAGCAATGTTTTCTCTCTGCAGATCTTATTTTCTTACACTTTGTACATCACACTATTATCATGGGTAAAATGAAAAGCGTTTCTCAGAAGTATGCCTTGTGATTTCTGGCCTGCTGACAGACTGCCTGCTTCTTCCAGGCAGGATGATGTGACAAATAAATACTTAAGATCTCTGAGAGGTACTCTGCCATGAGTCTCCCCAGCAGAAGACCGGTTCAGGGGGACCTGGCAGTGCCCATTCCCTGCCTGCACCACACTAGGGGCTGCCTGGGGTCCACTGGGTCTGACTCACACTACCTCTACAAACCCTGTGACCTGAAGAGGAAAGGCAATGTGATGCTTCAGGGAGTAACCACGATTCTGGCTCAGCATTTATGTGCTCTTTTGTTATTTATTCTGTATTTCCTCAGTATTTTTGGGCAACGTAAAGCATCCTGTCAGAGGAAGAGAGTTTTGCAGCTATTTTTTCATAAACCCCCACCCTGCCTGTACCCTCAGTATTTTCAGCCCTGTTTGCCTCGCTGGAGTTGAAGGATCCAAACCACAGTGCTGCAGAGGAGCTGCTGGGAAGCTCTGAGATGGCTGCAGGCCCACACACTGTATCTGTGACAGTTTGTGCCAGAGCATTATGACTGCATACAAAGCTGCAGATGAATTATGTGTGTGACAAGCTGAGGAGGAACAGTGTCCACAGCCTGATGTTTTCATACCTGCGGAGCACAGCCAGCAAGTGGAGGAGAGCCAATGGGACAACACAGGGCTGCTTGTCACGGTGTGTGCTTGCTGTCACTGCATCGTTTGGTCTCAGTTCTACTGTTGGCTGTGTGCCTATTTTTGGGCTAAGCTACACAGCCAGGAGCACTGGACTTTGACCTCTTCCTGCAGCACCGCTGTGGCCTGGGCAGCTGGTACTCTCCCTGCAAAAAAACATGGGCACAATTAGGGTTAGACATTAGCAGGGACAGGTAGTTTGGTCTTAAGTACCTTATTGCAGAGAGGGGTGGTGTTTAACAGAATGGAAGTGACTAAACGGCACAAATTAGCAGCTAGATCCCTTTCCTGGCTCTCAGGCCATTTAGTTTACTGCTGTAACAATAGCCTGCAAGTTCAACAAGTTTGAGGTACTTATCCTTCCTGCCTGTGGAACAGGAAGCTCCTGGCCCCTGTCAACTACCTTTTCCAAAGTGTTTTTGAAAGATTATAGCATGAGTGGAAAAACGCATTTCAAAATTACCTAATGAATCCCCTTCTAGTTAGTCCCAACTAAGCTCAGACTTCCCCATCAGGCTTGTTAGGCTTAAAAGAAAAAAAAAAAAAGATACTCTCCATTCCTCCTCAGATCCTTGAACTGGCAGTCATGGAATCGTAGTATCATATAATAGCTTGGGTTGGAAATTACCTCAGAGCTCTAACCCTGGTCAGGGCCCAGGGCCCCCACCCGGCCCAATCCTGATCATCTGCAGAGATGGGGCACGCACAGCTCTCTGGGCAGCTGTGCCAGGGCCTCACCTCCCTTTTGCCAGGATAGAGTAAACTGTTTAATTTATATCACTCCTATTTCATAAGTATGCAAACACTTATTTTTGAGTAATGTTTTTTGTTATGTAAATAAATACTTCAGGATTTATTTTGTAATTGCATCAGGAAGTTATTAGCACCATAATGCACTCAACATTTTTTTGAAAAAAAAAGTCCTTTATTAGCACATCCTAATCGACATTTCATTAAGTACCATGGGAACACTTCCACAGCTGTGGGACAAATCATCAGCTCTCGAGAAGATTTTCCCCTAGTAAGGATCAGGCAGCACGTATCTGTTGCCTGTTGTGATTCCTGCCAATCTGTGAAAAAACGTTGGAAAAACTGTTCTACCAGGAATGCAATGCCAGACTGTATTCACAGCGGTAAGAGCCTCTGCGAGGCAGAACAAGAGCCAGCACTACGGCCGGAAGACGGTCTTGCGGGGAAGCAGCACAAAAAGGGACGTCGCAAATCCACCGACTACCGGTACCCCCTGTCGTCAGCCCGCACAGCGGGCACAGACCCCCAAATCCGCGCCACCGCACCCGCGGCGGCCAGCCAGCACCACGTATGGCGCATGCGCGCCGCCTCCCGCCCGCCCCTTCCCGGCCGCAGCGAGGCCGCTGCCGGCTGCGGTTGCGCGGCCGTTCCGCTCGGATCCCTCCGCCGCGATGCGTCGGGCCCAGCGCCCTGCTCAGCGGCGCGCGTCCGGGGCCGCCGCCTTGCGGGGCCGCGGCCTGTGAGCGGAGCAGGGAAGGCCGCTCAGCCGCCTTCGGGGGGCCCGGCCCGGCATGGCGGCGCGGCGGTGCGCGGGCGGCGCGGCCGCTTTAGCCGAGGCGCCAGGTTGCGGCGCGGCGTTGGAGCCGGCCAGGGAGCTGTTCGAGGCCTGCAGGAACGGGGACGTGGAGCGGGTCAAGCGGCTGGTGCGGCCCGAGAACGTGAACGGCCGCGACACGGCGGGCAGGAAGTCCAGCCCGCTGCACTTCGCCGCAGGTACGGCCTGTGGCCGCGGCGCCGGGGAAGGGCCGAGGGTGGCCGGGCCGCGCGTCGCCGCCTCCCCGAGGCGCGGAGCCTGTTCGGGCGGGGCGGCCCGCGGCCCGGGTCTCTACCTCCGCGTCCGGCTGCTGGGCTCGGACGGGCCGGCGGCCTCCCGCGTTCCACGGGTAAACGGGACGGCCCGGCCGGCCGCGGGCCGCGGCACCTAGTGCCGCCTGTGCTGCGGCGTGTGGGCTCGGCAGCGCCGAGTGCTTCCGTAGTGCTCCCGGCCCCTCGGCAGGCCTGCTCCGCAGCCTTTCGCCGGCGGAGGGTGCCCGACAGAAAGCACGATTCCGAAGTTTTTTTGCATTCGTGTCGCTAACAAATAGACTTTGTTAATTTGGCACTTAGGCAAATAGCTGACATCACAGAACAACTGCTGTCTCTTCTGGCTGGCCGGAAGACTGTATACTACCTTTTCAGACAAAGGCACGATTGTGGCTGTTGTTTTCGTGGTGTTTCTCTGGTTGGATTGCAGCCTTAGTGGCAGGATTGTGGAGCAGGCGGGGTGCGAGGGCAGCTTTTAGCTAGGCATTGTGCATAACTAAGAAACACGTTTGTTTCCCTGGTGAATTATTTTGGAAAAGGTTTCTAATTAAGGTGTCATTTTCTTACATTCAGTAAATTTAATGGATTTGAGTTCCTGAGAGCTGCTTTTTTCAGACAGCTGTGATTCGCAGATTTGGGAATCTTGGTCAGCAGGGGAGCCCAGGGGACAACATAAAGCATCCTGTCAGAGGAAGAGAGTTTTGCAGCTATTTTTTCATAAACCCCAACCCTGCCTGTTCACTCATAAACTGTGAACTTCTAAACGAATGAGACTGCCTAACAGCATTTTGTAGAAGTGGGTTGTTAGGTTGGATTTTGGGGTTGGTTGCATGTTAGTTTTGGATGTTGTTATTTTGTTGCTTGTTTTTGTTTTGTGCCTGAGGTGTTCCCCATAGGCAGTGACCTAGTTTGCCTCTCTGAACAGCGCAGATCTGTCTTGGCTTTAAAAACCAGGTCTTCTAACTTACTGAAAGCTTTTTTCCATTAAATAGGCCTCTAATATAAGGCGAAAGTGTGTGTAAGTGCTTTTGTCCGTGCTTCTGTCCCCTTCAAGCTTGATAGAGAGAATTTAACTGCCTTTCTCATAGGGCTGTAGCATGTGCAAAAAGTTTCTAGCTAGGGCAGGATGTAAAATGCATGTGTAATGTCTTGATTAATGTGCTTCCGCTGCTTCGGATGGGCTGACAGCAAAAAGGGCTCTACCTGCAGTAGGCTGAACTTGGAAGTTGGTCATAAGCAACTCCTTGATTTGGGGGTTAAGAATGTTTTTGTTTGTTTTACTTTTTCCATGTTATTCACAGTTTGAGTAATACCAACTTCTTTTGTCTCTGTTGCCCGAAGGAATTACATTCCAGGATGCAAAAGCAAAAGTCTGTTGTATTCTTGCTTTGTTTAGCCTAGGTGCGTGTTGTTAGAAAAAAATGTTACAAAACTTCTCTGACTAGTTTCATTCACTTGCAAGGCATTGTTTTGTGGTTGAAACATGAAGATAGTTTTTGTGTTGCCTTTTTTCTCTTTCAGGGATACTCTGGGTTCTGAATTTGGTTCTTTTTTTTTTTTCTTTTCTTTAACTATCACTGTAATGGGGAAAAAAACACAAACACAAATGCTCTTTTTTTCCTGTGTGTCCTAAGTAGCTCTGCTGCTTTGCAGTAAGAAACAAGAGCCTGGCCGCCTCCTCTGCGTACATACGCACATAGGAAAGGCTTCTGCGTGTGGTAGGGATGTAGTAGGGATCCCTTGCGGTAGGGGTGCTCCCACAAGGCTGTGGAGAGTCCCTGTACCACACACACTTCATGGTGAAGCCAAGTTCCAGAAACTGGTCTGATGCAGACGATCCTCCATCTCCACTCCACCATAACTGTGGGTGGTTTGGGGGTGTTGCTATTCCCCCAGCAGGGGGATATTTCCCAGCTGGGATGGCTTTGCCCTGAGAGAAGCTGTGGGTATGAATTGTGTTTGATTGAACCTACGTACTGACTGGAGGGCTACAGAGTGAATTCTCTACGACTATAGTGAGGCTTGCCACACTTCATTATGGATTGATGCTCATGTTGGTTCTCTGTGTTCAGAGCTGTGTGCACACAGCAAAGCTTTGATGGACAGGCATGTCTTCTATGCAAGAGTGAGTGATGTTTATCCATCAGATGCATAACTGAGACAGAAAGTTGGATAAGAGGCTTTTCTAACCCAACTAGTAAAGTAGTTTCTGGAAAACATTTTATGGTACCAAAAGCGGGTGCCAAACAGTCTGTTGTCAAATAGCAGCAGTTGTGATATGTTTACAGGACTGAGGCACTTGTGAAAAGTCTCATCTGAGTAGATCCAGTAAGAATTAGGCAAATTGTGGTTATGCCTTCACCCTAGAAACATGATTTCTGGAAATTTTGAAGATGTAAGAAAAATTCAGTGGAAGAATGAGAAATATGCTGCATATGATTTAATATGTAGACAGTGTAGCTCTTCAAGTATATCTTCTACAGGAGCTGATTTTTGACATATAGTTCTATAGAGATTGCTTTCGTAAAGGTGCTAGCAAACTAAAGTTTGAATAAATGTGTTTGTCCAGGCGGGTATTGAGTATGTGCACCTCCTCTCTGGGCAGCCTGTGCTCTGTCACCCTCGCTGTAAGGAAGTTTTTCTCGTGTTCATGCAGAACTTTATGTGTTCCAATTTGTGCCTGTTGCCCCTTGTCACTGGGCATTGCTGGGAAGAGCCCAGCCCCCATCCATTCAACTCCTGCCCTTCAGATAATTGGAAGTTGATAAGATCTTCTCTGAGTCTTCTCTTGTCCAGGATGAAGAGCCTCAGGTCTCTCTGCTTTCCTCGTGGGGCTCCAGGCTTCTGTTTACTGTCTGTCTGGGAGAAGGAGTCACTGAAGTCAGGTTTAGTGAGGAATGCGGTATGAGAAACTTCAGCTGTGATGAAACTAAAACTGAAAAGTTCTGTTGGAAATAAAATGCTGGCGCATCTTGTGCGTCTGTGGTTCTCTCACTGGAACTCTGTGCAGTGGTCAGGAATAAATACCATTTTAGCTTCTGATTTCCTTGACTCCTGGCTGCCTGCTGAGGCTGGGCAGGTTGGGTTGTAACAAAGATTAAACCCACTGGCCCCGAGTGTGCTGCTGTTTGCAGTCACACAGTGATTTGTGCTGAGGGAAAAGCTCTCACGAGGAGCTTCATCCCACACAATTCTTGATTTCCCCTGGACAATGGTTTGCAACTCTGGTTTTTAAAGGAAGGAAGGCCACGTCATGTGCACAAGAGGTCATTACCCAGCAGGTGCTTGGCACACCAACATGTGGCTCTTACCTTTCCTAATAAGTTCGTGACTCACATGGGTCTTCGTGAAGCTTTGAGGGAATTTTGTATGCTGTGTCCCTTAGAGCATCTCTGTGTAGGCACAGGAGCAATGGTTCTGAGTCGTCGTGTCCTCTTAACAAAGGTCCTAGAGAAAGCATGGGCACAGTTGGTAGTAGTTTGAGATACTAGTGTATGTGCCATTACATAAATGTGCAAGATACAGCTGAAATTAAACAGTAGTAGCTATAGAATTGGCTTTAAAGAATCCATTGTTTTACTTATGATGCATTGCTAGCCACAGATGGGCCTAGTTTTTGTTGTCCACTAACATGAATGACATGAGTAAAATTGCCCCTGAAGGTATAATAGCATTTCTGTGCTTTAGATCAAGCTTTTGTAGTCACGTAATGTAGACTTTCTGGATATCCTTAAAGTATGGTTGTGCATGCTTATCATAAATGCTCTCAGATAAATGTTTTACATTCCTAAGGATTTTCTTGAGAGAATTTCAAAGATGAAAACAGTGTGTTCATTATGCTAATGAACCTTCAGAGAGCAGGTAGCCATACTGCTTGTTTTAACCTGTGAGTAACGCTGCATGTTTTTTCAAACAAGCCATGTGAAATAATTTTCAAACTGTGTTATATGGTTTGTTTATTTTTACTTTATATAACTTGTGCATGCACAAGCTCACCACTTCTGCTCCCTGAGCTCATCTATTGGTCCTTCTGCAGATGTGCTGTGGGATGGCAGAGTATCATACAGAGTAGTATTAGCTTTAATGGCCATATGAAGTGACTGAAAAAGAGGATTTGTTGTCAGTAGTCTGTCCTTTTGTTATGCTTTCAAGAAGCAGTTCACTCGTGGGAGCCCTACCAAGATATTCAATGTTTTAGTAATCTTGAATATTACTTTTTTACTGATTTTAATAAAATAATTCGGGGTGTTTTTGAAAATAACCTTCCTTTAGTAAGAAACACCTGCTGAGGTCTTTATTTAGAGTGATTGCTGTCATTTAAATACGTTGTTTCAGCATGGGTGAGAGGGACGGGGGTTTGTCTTTCCCTGCACCTTTCTTTCATCCCCAGCACATGAGACAAAGCTGTTTCTCTTCCAGGTTTTGGTCGGAAGGATGTTGTCGAATACTTACTGCAGAGTGGTGCCAATGTCCACGCACGAGATGATGGAGGCCTTATCCCACTTCACAATGCTTGCTCTTTTGGTCACGCCGAAGTTGTCAATCTCCTCCTGCGGCACGGTGCGGATCCTAATGCTCGGGACAATTGGAATTACACTCCCCTTCATGAAGCAGCCATTAAGGGCAAGACAGATGTCTGCATTGGTAATTTTCTTGCACTTCTACCGTGACTTGTTTTCTTTCACTGTAAAAAATGCAATGTATTGTATTGTAAAATGTAAAAGATAACCTTTTAAAGATTATTTTTACTTTATGAAGCCATGTCTGTAAGGCTTAAAAATCTCTGATAAACTTAAATTCCTGTCAGTTTTCAGAGAAACAAATTGACTATGATTTTTAGATCTGTCTTTGTTAATTGCCCAAGTATAATGATTGACATTGAGGGAAAAGCACCTCAGAGTGATCTGATAGATGTAGATACTCTTCTGCTTCTGCCCAGCCTCTTATTTTGCTTTCCGCTGTTACTCATAGTGCACTAAAAAGAAAACTTTTCAATAATGAGCTAGTTCTGTCTCCTTTCATAGCAGTCATGTTAAATAAGCTGAGGATATAAAGAAAATTTAAACAAGTTGAGCACGTGAATATAGTTGTATGTATTGACTACACAATTCTTAAGAGAGAGGAAGAGATAGAAGAAGAGGTTGAGAAATTAGTGTTTGGACTGTGTGACTTCCTCCGGTTTACTTTATTCAGGAGCACGTCTGAGAGCAGTATATGTAACATGGCCTGTTTGGCCCCAGTATCTGTGCAAGGTCTATGAAGATGCATGGCTTGGTACTGCTGTGTGCTATTTAGGGAGCAGACCCCTGTGGTTTTGAGGCAGTGTGCTCTGGACCTGTTGAGAAGGAGCTGCTGGTTTTAGGGCATATGTCAGTCTCAGGTTTTCACTGAAATTGCTTCCTGCTGGTGTGGTGGAACAGACTTTTTTTCCTCATGTGTTTCACTAGTTCACAGGTGCCATTAAGGAATTCTGACATCAAAAGGTTGAAAGGGAAGTTGGGAACAATGATGGCTTTTTGTTGTTGCTTGTTGCTTACATTGTCTCATAAGTCTTGTCTTGTCAAATTGTTTTCTCATGAAATACTCTTGCATTTTGAAGTATTGCTGCAGCATGGTGCTGAACCGACCATCCGGAACACAGATGGAAGAACAGCTTTGGATTTAGCAGACCCATCTGCAAAGGCAGTGCTGACTGGTACGTGATAATCTTTAGATTAACTAATAATACTCCAGTGATTGTAATACAGTATCTGTGTATTCTTTTTCCCTCAGTAACTTTAACTCATTTCTGTTTTAGAATTCTAGATAGAAATTCCTATATGGCCTTATCATGTTGTTAACAGGATGCATTTCAGATAAATACTTTGTTATAGCAGTTAGGAAATAGCATCACATTTTTAGTACTTAGCTCCCTGCAGCTTTGAAAGAGGACAAACTGTAAGCCTCAACTCATGAACTTAAATATATGGATATTTATTTAATAACTTTAGAAATTCTCTTCTATCTTCCAGGTGAATACAAGAAAGATGAGCTCTTAGAAAGTGCCAGGTATGTGTTTTTATGGACACGTCTGGAACTTGGTTACTTTTTTATAACTCTTTAAAGGTTTTCTGTGTAATGAATATATATTCATCCATGAGTTGACATTCCATCCAGGTAGTAAGCTTTGGCTGTTTCTATTAATAAAGCTACAAAAATGACTACACAAACACTTTTTTTTTGCTTTGCCTACTGAAACAAATAATAAACATAATTTTAGATTTGCAGAATGTTATAGCAAGAAAAAGTATGAAACCATAAGCTGCTAACAATTTTAATAAAATAACTCTGCCTATTTCATATGTTGTTCTACAGGAGTGGAAATGAAGAAAAGATGATGTCTCTCCTTACACCGTTGAATGTTAACTGTCATGCAAGTGATGGCAGAAAGGTATTTGTCTTTAAAAATGCAATTTAAACTCTGTATCATAAACTGTTTATCATTTAGCAGTCGTTGCTTGTACTGGCTGTCTTAGTTCCACCTTTTGTAAGCAACATTGTTTGTCCTGGCAAAGTTCTTAGAAATAAGGCAGTCTAAAACACAGAAACGAATTGCAGAACTCAAAAATCTGTCGAGGTCCTTTGTCCCAGAATGTATTAGAAATAAAGCAGATTCAGGATTTGTGTTAATTATGTCAGTAGAAGTAGACAATGAGAAATGAACACAGTTATTATGCATCTGATTCAAACTCTCTGGGCTTTTTTGATATTACAGGTGTTTTAAGGACTTCAGTAATTAGTACTGTTAATAAGTTTTGGAAAAAAAAAAAAAAGAGCAAATGCTGGTTTTGTGTTACTGATTACTGCTATGTTCTGTCATTTCAGTCTACTCCTCTACATTTAGCAGCTGGGTATAACCGTGTAAAAATAGTACAGCTGTTACTCCAACATGGGGCTGATGTGCACGCTAAGGATAAGGGGTAGGTTCATTTTTCCTTTGTTCAGAAGAAATAAAAAATGTTCAAATTTGAGGTGAGGTGTAGTAACAACATGTTAACTGTGAACATCATCTGAGCTGAGACTATGAATCTTTCTGTCGTGACAAAAATACTATGTGGACAGTCTTCAGTATTGTGAAGCAGAAGAATTTAAACAGAACGGACCGTAAAATATGTAGCCTTTCAGGTATTATTAACCATCTTATTTTTGCTTAAGAAAATACATCAGTAAATCACTGGGGAATCAGTAAATATCATAATGGCCTAGTCTTAATTTTATTCCTGCTTTTAAGTTTCTGGACTTCTTTATCAAGTGATGAAAAATTGAAGATCTGTTCTTCAGAGTTATCTGTGGACTACTACATTTTTAAGCATTTGGTTGTTATCTCAGAACACGTAGTAAAATACGGATGTGCTGAGTTTGTTTATGGTTGTATAAAGTATTTTTAAAATATGTTTTTCATTGTATGTATGCCTGTGTACGTTAAAGATTATGGAAAACAAACTCTTATCCATCCTTTTATCCTGTGATCCCTTCACTGCTATGTAGATAGCTGTCTGATCAGGCAACTTTGTCCATTCAGTGTTGAAATGCACTTTTGTCGTTTCTCCTTTACTAGCCCACAGCAGAAGAGCACACTTTGGCTAATTTCTCACTGGCTACTAAGACCATTCAGCTTGGTAGAACGTGAAACAGGGTTTAGAACTAGCTCTGCTGTTACTGTGGAATAATGTCTTAACAGTTACTTAAGCAGCACCAGTAAAACTCCTCTGGTATCCAAGTGAGAAAATTTTATAGCAGTGTTCTTGTGAAAAAGGAAGTAACAACTCTCACTCTAGACAGCTATTGCCTTTACTTCTTTCTCACTAAGGTTCCAAGTCTTAGAGGAGCCCTTCAATTGCATTAAGACAGCGCAATTCATTTCTCATCTTCTTGTTAACTTACGTGTTTTTTGTTCTGAAAAAGGCTGATCAGTTTATATGGGCTCTTCTCAAGCTTCTCATTTCCCCTCATTTTCGTTTGAACAACTCAGGTACCATTGTTGTTTTTTTTTAATGTTTAAGATGCAGCGTAGTATTATTAGCAATGCTTAGATTTTAGAATTTAAATAGGAGTACTAAGATAATTTCTCTCTTCTCTCCTGTAGAGATTTGGTGCCACTTCACAATGCCTGTTCCTATGGTCATTATGAAGTAACGGAACTTCTAGTAAAGGTTAGTCTTTGGAAAAAAAAAAAAAAAAAAAGTTTGGATAATATTAAGTAAGAACAGTTTAGACTAATAGACTGATTAAATTTGCAAATTTTTCATCTTTTTAAAAACTTAAAAGTTGATAGATTCTGCTTGCTGTATGTTAGTTATCATGTTACAGAAGTTACAGAATTTTCTGCTTGCAGGGAAGCTTTCCTCTTACAAATGTGCTTTCTGTTTTTAACTCATGTCTTAGAAGTTAAATGGTTTTATACCATCAAGTAAGTACTGCTGCTCTCAAGCTTTCCACCTTTACAAATAAAAAAAATAGCCAAACGAAAAGAGCAGTACTATGTATTTAAGAATAGAAAAGTGTAAGTTTCCTGAAGGAGTGAACTTTACAGCGTAAATTCTGGCCCAGAATCACAGCCCTCACACCAGAGAAAAAGAATGTAAACTGAATTGGCTTATCTGAATTGTGTTAATCTTGAAGATAAAGTCTGATACACATTAAACCAAGGGCTTCAAGATGTGCCCTGCAAGAGTCTGTGCCACAGAGGGACTTAGGAACTGTATCCATTCTCATCTGTCACAGTAAATCATGAATTAAAATAGCTGAGGGGTGCTGTCAGATGACTTGGGCTGCTTGGGTTCTCAGGGAGTAGCTGGTTTTCTACCTTGAGATCTCAGTCCCCACCAATCTCAGGTTTAGAAGAAAATAAGTTAAAAATGATTAAAAGAAGCATATTTTGTAGTAAGTATAAACAGACAAGTTTTTTGTTTGTTTGAACTTCACAGGCCAGTCGTAAAGTGAATCTTCTGGTACTAGACAAAAAATGTACCTAGCCACTCCTTGTCTCTTAACTGCCAAGCTGCAATTGTATTTCCTGTTGGTATCTGCTCCAGTAATTACTGAATTATTTTTTGTGAGCAATACAGTGTTAACAGCAGCAGTAGGTATGAGCATGTCCAATCAGACTTCCTTATGGTTAGAACTGAAGGTGTCTAGAGAAGAATTACATAGATGTTAAAGTCCAGGAGTCTTACTCGCAGAACTTTGTACTTAATGTTTTAAACCAAGATTGATTTTGCTTATTTCTTTCTGGACATCTTGGCTGTCATTATTTGGGGGCGTTTACAGAATGTGTGTTGTTCTGAGCTACTGTAACTGTTCACTGTAGAGTTTTTCTAGAGCAACAAGTAATAGGAGCTTGTCCAGACGTGATTTGATGTAGGTGATTTAGACTCTTAATTTGATTTGACCTGTAGATGAGCTGTTTGATTTTCAGAGAAGAATACCTGATGAGACTAGCTTGCCTTTAGCTTCTGTAAATGTAACTTAGAGACACCAGAGGATTAAAAACTGCAATATGTAGAAATATTGTGTTATATTGAATGTGAAAATCTGGAGAATGTCTTGGATACCACTTCCATACTAGCTTTGATTTTTTTATTTTAACAGTCTACTGCATTGATAAGATTTTTTTTCTAGAAATCTGGGTTTGATATTGATCTTTTTTACTGCTTTCCTTTTCAAGCACGGAGCATGTGTGAATGCAATGGATCTGTGGCAGTTCACTCCTCTGCATGAAGCAGCTTCTAAGAACAGGGTGGAAGTATGTTCTCTTCTGTTAAGTTATGGTGCTGATCCAACACTGTTGAACTGTCACAACAAAAGCACCATTGATTTGGCTCCAACGCCCCAATTAAAAGAACGATTAGCATGTGAGTATAAAATCAGTTCTGCAGTTTTAGACTGGACTGTATGCTTAGGTTCCTTGAGGTTTTCCTGTGACCCAGCGGAAGTTGAATGTGGAAAATGCTTACACTTTACTCTTAATTGTGCAATGTTTGGCATTTTATTTCACTACTTAAGATTTAAAATTGCTGGAATGTTTCTGAAAGTAGGTCAGTTGTATTTGTGGTCAGGATGTTTTTTATGGCCTTTCTTCCCTGAATACATTTTCCCTTGTGACCTTACCGGTACGCTTTTGTTTTCCCCATTTACTCCTGTCATTGCATCAAGACTGCTGAAATATTCTTTTTTATTCCATTGTACTTTGTTAGAAGAAAAGAAAAAAATAACTGCTTTGAACATTGACTGTGTTTGTTCTGAGTACACCACAATCACTTAAAAAAAAATTAAAAAAAAAAATAAAAAATTGATGAAAGGTGCTGATTTTGTTCAGCATACTTAACAGGTTGAGAAAAATGCTTTCAAATCCTGTCCCTCTGTGGTCAAACAGTGACTCTGAGTTATGTTGAAAATCTACACTAGACTTCATGGTGGCAACTAGAAATGGTTTTCCAAAGGGAAGTCAGAAGCAGAGATACTCTTGGACTTTGTACATATGCAAAGAGTGGAACCTAGAATGTGGTGGGTGGAGTAGATCTTGTTGAGTGTCTCTGGCTTTAGTTTAGAAACAAAGTGGGATTCTTGTGTTTTAACTTAACTAGTAAGTTCTATCAAGTGGTGTAAAAGCTTAAGTCTGAGCTGGAAATTTTTTGCACCAATCACTGTTGCAGGGGGAGAAGCCCCTTTCCTATCAGGAAATAAAATGGTTGTTTTGGTCTAACTCGAATCAATCTTCTTGATCCTTCTAGTGTTTAGGAATGTAATGTTCTGGAATGTATGTATTTTTCTTTAAAGATGAATTCAAAGGTCATTCACTGCTACAAGCTGCAAGAGAATCTGATGTTGCTCGTATAAAGAAACATCTTTCTTTGGAGACAGTTAACTTCAAGCATCCTCAAACACATGAGACAGCACTGGTAACATTTCAGAATTTCTTAATTGTCGTGCATGTATCGTGACTGACCTAAACGTAGTAGGCAATGCTTGAGGGCTCAGTTGCATTGTTAAACAGTGTACTTGTATAATTCAGACCAGTGTCTAGAATTTAAAAAAAAAAAAAAAAAAAAAAAAAAGTTGTTTAAGAGTAATGTTAAGACTAATACAAATTGCCTCTTTTACTTACGTTGTATAAATTCTCTTCTATAGACTGCTCTAATTTTTAGTATTAGCAAGTTAGATGTGTCAGCTTTGTAAAGCTTAAAATCTTTTGAGAGTTTGGAAAAGTATTAGAATGAATCTAAAGAGTTCATCTCTTAAGGAACTCCTTAAATTAGTAGGCTTCTTTGTATATTTCTTTTTATGCTGACTTTGCACACAACCAGATCTTAGTCAGTAATAAAACCTTGTGTTGGTAACTGGTTATTAATGGTTTTTAATGTTTGTTGGTTTTTTTTGTTTGTTTTTTTTCAGCACTGTGCTGCTGCATCTCCATATCCTAAGAGAAAACAAGTATGTGAATTGCTGCTGAGGAAAGGAGCTAACATTAATGAAAAGACAAAAGAGTGAGTGGTTACAAGTGAATCCTAAACTTTCGTTTAGAAGATTTTGCCAAATACCTTCTGAATCACATTTTTTTTTTTCTTTAAAGCTTCTTGACACCTCTGCATGTGGCATCAGAAAAAGCTCATAATGATGTTGTTGAAGTAGTTGTGAAACATGAAGCTAAGGTATGAATTAATATTTTTACTTTTCTTTTTGTTATTTAATTTCTGTTTGTCTTTTCTTGTCACGAGAATGGAGAGCAGAGTAGACACTTGACTGAATTTGTTTTGATAGTTATAGATTTATACCCGTAAGACACAGACTATCAATCCAGCAGTGCAGTTATGCACTTAGAGACATTGTCTTTGGTCCTATTTTATAAAATGTGCAGACATCGTTCTTTTCATGTTATTAAAAATTTATAAAGTATCTTATTACCTGCTGTATTATCAAGAAGGAGAAATTATACTCTGCTTTTTAAAAAAAAAATGGGAGATGCACGAACAAGAGGTTACTCAGAACTGCAAAACAGGTAGACTTTATCATGTGCAGTAAAAGCAAAATGTTACATCAGTACAGTGTTTTGACCCAAATTTCCACAAAAAGAGAATGTAGAAAGGAGATGCTCTGTAATTTGGGCTTGGGTTGTTCCAGACTGGTATTTTAAGTTCTTCTATATGGAAACTTGGATACAGCTTTTGGATGTGGCCTGCTGTAAAGTTTACAAAGTGATAATCAAAAGCAGTGGGACAGTAGGAAGTACAGATAAGCTTTGAGTACACAATTTTGAATGTTGGTTGCCTTGGTTGAAACACTATTATAAAGTCCTAAATCTGAAAGACTGCTCTAAGCCAATGCAGATAAAAGTGACTTTACACACTGGCACAAAAGATGCGTGCTGCACAATGAAAATTACAGTCTACATCTGTATGTGGTAAAACTGCCATCACTGTTCACACGTGTTTACACACATGTGATTATTCCCGTGATTCTAAAAGGAGTCTATTCTTCCTCTGTAAGTGCAGTTATAACTTTATGAACAGCTGTTGTTTGTGGCTGTGTCTTACCTTTTTGAAATGTCGTGACCTTTGATTAGAATAACATTCAGCATATTTTCAAAGTAGGGAGAATACTTGTGAAACAACACGCTTAAACAGTGTTTTGCTGTTACTATTTCCTTTAAGAATGTATTCTAAAGATTGTTTTATTTTTAGGTTAATGCATTGGATAACCTTGGCCAGACCTCTCTTCATAGAGCAGCACATTGTGGTCACCTCCAGACTTGTAGGTTGCTGTTGAGTTCTGGATGTGATCCTTCCATTGTATCTCTGCAGGGCTTTACAGCCTTACAAATGGGGAATGAAAGTGTGCAACAGCTACTGCAAGGTACAACTGATTTATTCAAGATGTGTTTAGGAAGTGATGTGATAACAAGTTACTTGCTATTTCGAGTTCTGTCAAGGAATAATAGTGAACAAACCAAAAAAGGTACTTTTTGTGGAAGGTAAAAGCTGGCTTGAGTTATTCAATTCTTATTCCATAACCACATGCGCATGGAGATGTCCTGCTTACAGGTATGATTAAATCTCTAGTGGTGTGCAGATTGTTGGAGCTGCTCAGAATGTTTAACGGTAAAGCCACCTGGAACCATTTTGTAGAAGTCCTGATATATGGAGGGGAGGGTACAGTCTTGTAAGTAGAAAATGGATTTAAAAAGAAAAAAAAAATGGTTGCTGTGCAGTTGCTAGCAGAGGCAACAGGCTGTGTGGATTTTAATGACTGAGGTTTAGATACTATATGTGTAAGTATCTTCAGATTAGTCTTATTCTGAAACTGAATATTTAATTGGTTTTGCAGCATTCTAAAATTGGTAGGAATCATGTTCCCGTAGGCAACTTTTTAAACACTTGTAGATAGGTACAGCTGTACATAATTAAAAAAAAATACAAAACCAATCTATAGTTGAATAGCTTTTTCCATTAAGTCCTTGACTTCCTTTAAGTTCTTGAGATACAGAAATTATTTCCTATCCTAAATTATTTCAAGTATGTACAGTTAATGTACAATCTCACTTGTTTTGCAGAAGGTATCCCTCTAGGTAATTCAGATGCAGATCGACAGTTGTTGGAGGCTGCAAAGGCTGGTGATGTGGATACTGTTAAAGTAAGTTTAGATCTGTCCCAAAAATAAGTGGGAATTGCATCCTGTCATTTCTTCCCCCCACCAAAAAAAAACAAAAACAAATGAATAGCTTTTCTTACTACTTTATGAAAGTTACAATTCATGGTAAAACCTTTCTGTTGTGCAAAAACTATGGATAACAAAATTTTGATGTTTTCCACCTCCTGAATTTACATTCAGTTCTTACTTTAAAAATGTATGTATGTCACAGATGTGAGATTGGGAAGAGAAGGTAATTATTTTTTCAGGGGATACAACCTATGAAAAGTAATATTTCTATTTAAAAAACAGTTTTTAAAATGAAAAAAGGTTTTTTCAGAAATGGGTGCGTATAACAGCATTTTATGACTCAAATTAGCATGTTTCTACACCATATACAGGGATTCATGTTTTGTCTGTTGGGTTTCACAGAAACTGTGTACAGTTCAGAGTGTGAACTGCAGAGATATTGAAGGGCGTCAGTCTACACCACTTCATTTTGCAGCTGGATACAACAGGGTGTCTGTTGTTGAATATCTCCTTCAGCATGGAGCTGATGTGCATGCAAAAGATAAGGGGTAAATAATCACACTTGTATATTTTCATGGCTATTGTTACTACTTACGTTTGTGAACTTCTGTCTTTTGATAGCTGATGTGCATCCCACCTTTCTTCAGTCAGTCTTTTATTTTCCTGGGGGCTTCTGTTGCAACAAAACTGTTAGAATATCCAGAAAAACATTTTGCACTTGAGACCGTTACTGTTATTCTGTTTTTACTTTCATTCACTGCTACTGGCATTTATACTACTTTGGTAGCAGATATATGCAATATATGCATATAAGCTACAATGGAAAATGTAAATTTTCTTAAGAGTTTTTATTATAATTGTTTAAGGTATGTTGTGCTTTAGGTTCATATCTGTGTGTGAAAAGAGATTCTGTTTTTTTTTTTTTAAGATAACCTTTTTATTATTTGTTTTCCAGAGGACTTGTTCCTTTACATAATGCTTGCTCATATGGTCACTATGAGGTTGCAGAGCTGCTTGTTAAACATGGTGCAGTTGTCAATGTAGCTGACTTGTGGAAGTTTACTCCCTTACATGAAGCTGCAGCAAAAGGAAAATACGAGATTTGCAAACTCCTATTGCAGGTACTACATATGCTTGAGAAAGGTTGCTTTCTTACGTTTCTTATTCGGCCTGAAATGTGCTTGTACTTCTTAGACAGATTGGTTTGTGGTTGCTAAATGAATGAGGTAAACATTTCCCATAGGAGGACAACTATTGGCAAGTGTATTTATTTTTTTCATAGTAAGTGGAAGGCTCTCTGCAAAGGAGTCAAGAATGTGTGAAAATATTTGCTTAGTAAGGTGAAAGATTCCTGAGATGCACAGTATTTATTCTGTGTATGTGCATGCTTAACACCTGTTTTTTGTGTGCACAGCATGGAGCTGACCCCACAAAGAAGAACAGGGATGGAAATACTCCTTTAGACCTCGTTAAAGATGGAGATACTGATATTCAAGACCTACTTAGAGGAGATGCAGCTCTGCTAGATGCTGCTAAGAAAGGTTGTTTGGCTCGGGTGAAAAAGCTCTGTTCACCTGACAATGTCAACTGTCGAGACACGCAAGGGCGGCATTCAACACCACTCCATTTAGCAGGTCAGTGTTCTGTTTAACTGGTTAGGGTTAGTAAGCTAAAGTCCTTAATTTAGTATTCTATGCATATTAGTCATCTGTTTCTCCACTCTTCTAGACTGTTTACCTTCAGTTTTCCTGTTCTGTTTAGCCCAAGAGGGTCTTTTATTGGGCATATATTGACAGAGGTTTTAAAATCAGTTAGCCTTAAGTGGGAAGCTGTCTTCTGTAACAACGCACTGCCTTCACTGGAAGGGACGTATTAACTTCCAAGTAATTTAAGAGAATTATCATTCTCTGCAGCTTGTTGAGGTAGTCTTTAAAGGTATGTTGTATTCATTCTGTCCTTTTGCACCCTTCCAGCTGGTTACAACAATTTGGAGGTTGCAGAGTACCTGCTACAGCATGGAGCAGATGTGAATGCCCAGGATAAAGGAGGTTTGATTCCTCTGCATAATGCTGCATCTTATGGGGTAAATATGTTGGACTTTGAGGATATTTTCTTACTAAAAAAATAAGCAGTGCATTTCAGTGACAGCATTGTGACCAATACTCTCCAAAAAGCTTTTGCTATTGAGTTATAACGTAATCTTATTTATAAAAAAGTAAATAAGTAATTCAGTCATAGCAAGCTTATTGTCGTATGCAAACAATTCTTTGAATTTGTAAAACAATGGTATGAATTGACAGAGTTGTTTTCTGAATGTGAACACATGCAAAGTCAACCACTCAAAAGGTGTTCCACAATTTATTTCTATACCTGTGCCAGTTTGATTCCACCAGCAAGTCTGGTGTTGAGATACTAGTTGTTTGTAGCTCAGGATCTTTGTGCTTGGATCAAGTCTTTAATTCTTCTGGATTTGAATTCTGTTGTAGTCCCTTTTTTGTTGTTGTTGTTGTTGTTGTTTTTTCCTCCCCCACAAGAGAATATTAGCCTTTTATCAGAATGTAGTAGGTCAGGAAGAAAACACCTCATCTTAAAACTTGTATAGTAATTGCAAAGTAAATGCATCATAAGGAAAATCAAAATGAGAATTGCAGAGAAATTATCAGCAGTAGTTGTGAGTTAACTTAATATTTGGTAGTACACTGGAATACACCCCTGATGGTTTTATTTTTCCAGCATGTGGATGTGGCAGCTTTGCTTATAAAGTATAACGCATGTGTGAATGCTACAGACAAATGGGCTTTCACACCTTTGCATGAAGCAGCCCAGAAAGGAAGGACTCAGCTTTGCGCCTTGTTGCTGGCACATGGGGCTGATCCTACACTGAAAAACCAGGAAGGACAAACACCTTTAGACCTGGTCACTGTAAGTGTTGGGGTTCTTGGGAAATCTGTTCTTACCTGGTTCTTGTGGCGGCTTACCTTAAATGACTCTCACTGTGGGTTTTCTTGTTCATATGTGTCTTTCAGGGAATGTTAGTAGAGCATTTTTAAACCTTTAAATATTTTCTTGCTTGAGGCTTACTTCAAAATGAGGCAGGGGAAAAAAGCAAGAAAAGAATTTGTGCTTATAAATTAATGCTCTTAATTTAATACTTAGATTTTTAACTAATAAAAAAATTGTAGTAATCAAATGTAAGCAAACTTTATAGCAACACGAATTTGGGAAACTATCTGACAGTTAGGGCTTTGATGGCTTGTCTCTCCCTCCAAGTTTTATAATACAATCCAAAGTTACCCACAGTAAATTTTACTTCATAAAATCTAAAATAAAAAAAAAAAAAAACATAGAAGTTTTTGGTAGTTTTTCCTACAAACAGTTTTATTTAACTGTCTTATAAGCTTTTGAGAAATATTGAAGTGAAAACTTTTTGTCTTATTACCACTTGTGTTTATAAACATCTTACAGAATTGTCTGTGCTATTAGCATAAAAGCTTTTTGTTGAATTGCCTTGTAAAATATATGTTTTCCAATATGTATTTGTTTGGTTTTTAGTATACTTAGGAATAAGTCTGGAATGATGATGATGCGTTTAGGATAAACAACTCTGTAAAAATGTTCCTCTGTTTTAATAAATTGTCTTCTGATGTTCAGGCAGATGATGTCAGCGCACTATTGACAGCAGCAATGCCTCCTTCTGCCTTACCATCTTGCTACAAACCTCAGGTTATAAGTGTATCTCAGACAGCAGGTTCTACAGCTGATCCCCTGTCATCTGTTCCATCCAGTCCATCCAGTCTGTCTGCTGCAAGTAGTCTTGACAATTTGTCTGGTAGTTTTTCTGAACTTCCATCGGTTGTTGGTACAAGCAGTGCAGAGGGAGCTGCTGTTCTGGAGAAAAAAGAAGGTGAGACTTTCTCAATTAGGAATGAGTAACAGTTTCTACTGTATTATGGAATGCTTCTGTGAAATTTCCCAAAAGATATAGGCAGTTTCTGAGATGTAGAACATACACAATATCCCTATTCATTACAATTCATTACACTGTCATTAGTGAAGAGCAGAAGTCTAAAAATCTTGCAGTACAAGATTTTAGTATTTTCTCCTTACAGAGTATCTTCAAAAGATTTTTTCTTTCTTCTATATAGACTCAGAAGGGTGAACTGTCTTAAAAGAGAAATCAGATGAAATTTGACTCCATTCCAAGCAGTGTTTTACAACTAATTTTATCCAGTTTCTGAAAGGTTAGACCAGATGTTCTGAACAGGTTACTTCTATAATGTGTTAGTTCTCAAAATATTTGCTGTTTGAACATCCATTTCTATTTGGTAGGTTGCTGCTTATCTCATGGAGGCAAAAAGACCACTTCTGTGTGTGTGCACATGTGCACAGATGATGGAGTCAGGGTTGACTGATTGTTGTCACTAGTTAGTGACACATTTATTTCCTATTTTCACAAGGCCAGGAATTTCTTTACTTCCCATAATTGTCACTGATAGTAAGATTGTATTTTGTTATGTAGTACATACATGAATATTTCTTCTGAGGTTTTTCTTCTATCCAGTCTCAGGTGTAGATTTCAGCATAAATCAGTTTGTGCGGAACCTTGGCCTTGAACATCTAATTGACATATTTGAGAGAGAACAGGTGAGTGAGTATGTACACTTATTTCCAGATACTCTGTTAGAAAGTAAGGCGATAAATATTGACTGGTTAGAGTAGTGTAGTTAGGTATATTTAAAATAAGTCAGTGTTTCCAACTTGGAATGGAATGAAGGAAAGGTTCATACTTGCGGAATTTTTTATATATGTTAATGTTGATGTGCATTTTATACATATACGTGTGTGTGTGAATATTTGTATGCATATAAGACCTATGAACAAGAGTGTACCAGTTTGAGAGTATAGCTCTGTTTCCTTTCAGTGGTATTCATGGTGAATAGTAGTACATACTGATTAGAAATTTGTGTTTATTTCTCAGTCAGAAACATGATCCTTGCTAATGATACCAGTTGCTTGGTTGTGTGTTTCATAGCATATTTATTTGCAGACAAAAGTTTGGAGAAAACAGTTGAATCAGAGCTAAGGGCAAGAATAGTGTCCTAAGTTGCATGTATTTTCTTACTCGCTTTTTGCCTCAGCAGTTGTGCTGTATGTTTCTGCTGTCATTGGCAGCTGTGTTGTTCTGTTTATGCTGTTGTACAAAAAATGATCTATCTCTCATTCTAGATAACACTTGATGTGTTGGTTGAAATGGGACACAAAGAGTTGAAGGAAATCGGAATTAATGCTTACGGCCATAGGCACAAAATCATTAAAGGAGTTGAAAGACTCATTTCTGGACAGCAAGGTATATACTTGTTTCAAGTTATTATATAATACTGCTTTTGTAGAATCCGTTTCAGTAATACCTCAGATTATCCCAGGCAGTGACATTGTTGTCTGTCAGTGCTTTTGTTAATTTTCTGTATCTTGCTCTTATACCTAAGTATGTTTGTGTTGCAAACACTTCAGGCTGATTATCTGGGACTCTGCAAAAGGACAGGTTCCATGTTTTTCCACTGCCTAATGTTGAAATGAACTCTCAAGCAGGCAGTGGCTTATGCGTAGTTGCCTTGTCATGTATGTTGGAAATAGCAGGCTAAGCACAGGCACATGGGTTGATGTGTCTGAAATGTTCATTCCTGTGGATGGAATGAATGATAAGTATCCTCAGATAAATAAAAATAATTTTAATCTCTATTCAAACACAACTGCTATGCTTTGATGGCGTTTATGGTGTTTTCATTGTAATGTACAGGGAGGGGTTATAAAAGGAAATACTGAAAAAGTTTGTTCGAAACCAGCAAAGCAGCTTGAAGGATGGCACTTTGACATCCTCAAAAAAATACGTTGCTGATGGAAGGCAGTGTAAATCATTGAAAATATTTGCTGCCTTATTTTTGGCAAAAGTCTTCATCCTATAAAATGTGTTCTCAGAAAATGGATCTCTTAAAACTGTGTTAATGGTGATCATGCCAAACTGGCAGTCTTAAAGCAGTTTCTGAAGCTGCTGCTATGTTTTGTTGTATTCACAGGACTTAACCCATACCTGACTCTAAACACCTCCAGTAGCGGAACTCTTCTCATAGATCTTTCCTCTGAAGATAAGGAGTTTCAGTCAGTAGAAGAGGAGGTATGCCTCTCTTTGTAACTTCTCAGTATTTTTTGTTAGTTCCACTACTGATATGGCCAGAGGGCATTGCTAGACAATTGAAGTATGATTAATACTTATACGTATAGTAAGAAACTTGCAATAAGGATACTTCAAGTTTCCATCTTAATTATACCACTATTCCAGTCCGTGCTCGTGAGATTGGTATTTTTTTCTTGGTAATGTTGTTACTGCTACTCATGTTTTTAACACTGTACAATATAGAAAAGCTCTTGCATGTAACACAAATTCTATACTACCAATTGCCTGCCTGTTAAGGCATGTGTTTAAGTCACTTCCTTGCAAAGTATGGTGATCGCACAAGACAGTTATGAAGAAACAGTAGTCCAAACAGAATAAAGGCAATCTTTCTCATTTGAAATCCTCAGATGCAGAGTACTGTCCGAGAGCACAGAGATGGAGGACATGCTGGGGGAGTCTTCAATAGATACAACATTTTAAAGGTGACTGTCACGTTTTCATGACTAAGTGATCTGGCCAAAATTATCCTTGACTTGTCCATAAAATGCTCTGCATTTATTTGTTGAATTCTGTAAGAGATGTGTCATTCTGAGACATGCACAGGGAAAAGATTATCCTCCAGGGAAATTCAAAGAGTAGGATGATATGGGAAAAACTACTTACAGGTCAATAAACATTAAATTAAAAAAAAAGAAAGATTTGTCATAAAAGGACCTCACAGAAAACTGCAGAATATCTGAAGAAAAATATAGAAGGTTTCATAGGAAACAAAGGCTTACTTCCATTAAGGAAGTGTGAGTGAAAAGCAGGAAACAAGAAATGAAAACAAAACTTTTGAGGCATGGAAGTGAAGGGACCTAGTATGGCTTGATTTAAATCCAAAGCAGCTTAAAGCAACAGGAAGTAGACAACCTTTGTTTAAATAATTCAGTAGAATTTCAGTTTGCATTTTCTCCTGGAGAAATGGTTGCTTTAGTTAAAATAATAAGTTGCTAATTTCTTAAATACAGATTTTATGCTAACCTAATATTACACTTCTGTAATAAAACAGATGCACTGTCTACACACACAAGGCTTTGTTATTGCTCACCCTACCTTTGCTTAGGGTACCTTAATTATTCTAGAAGTCTTCCACGAAGACTTTTCTTTATTTAGATGGCTTTATCTGTCTATTCTCAGAGGGATACTGCAGCATAATTGTGACTGGGCCTGCTAAATGCAAATTAAGAAGGTTTAAGATGTTTAAAAGTAATTGATTCTTAATTAAACTTATAGTATTTACTCAGTATTATACTGCAGTAATACTTGTGAGGGTAAATTAAAGAATTCTGTTGTTTTTTGTTGAGTTTTAAGGAAAGAAATATTCTTTAGGTATTCTTTAAGCATTTTAAAGTGTTGTGATACAACTAATGTATGTTAAAAATCTGTCATGTAAACACAGGTTTTCAATTTGGGGATTAAACTTATATTTTTACTGTTTCAGATTCAGAAAGTCTGCAACAAAAAGCTGTGGGAAAGATATACTCACCGGAGGAAAGAGGTCTCTGAAGAGAATCATAACCACGCTAATGAAAGGATGCTGTTTCATGGTGAGATGTTGGAATGTGTCTTAGATACTCACCTAACCGTCAGTGCTATTTAGTGGAGGGTTTCTGTTGGATATATGTATTACATTTTTTTTCAAACATTTTATTAAGACACAATGCACTGGATTCTTCTTCTGAAACTTCCTCAGCCATGTTTCTCCCACAGGAGACTATGAAGTTCTAAGTGAAAACACTTTAGCTGTAACGAATAGAGGCTAAGGGAATATGCCTCATCCTTCATTAAGTTACCAGAACAGTGTTATTGGTTGTTTGATGAAAGTGATGAAGGATCAAACTATTCTACTGTGAGCTGTGGGGGTTGTTTGTGTAACCAGTAATTAAATTCTTACAGCCTTTACTGGAATGATGAATAAATAAATAAAGGTTATACCAAAGCTAGTGGTAAGATGTCTTGCATGCAGTTATGCAGTTTGTCCTGATAGAGAAATTAAATACATCTACTGTGCTTTCCTACAGTGAAAAAAACTACTTAGTTCCCAACACAAGGTTACTCTTGGAAGTTGCAGTAACAGCAATTATTGCTTGCCCAGACTGACAGAGATCAAAATACTGTCTTTTGATTGTGGTCTGTACCTGCATAAGAGGAACCAGCCTCTTGATGGAATGATCTTTTTTTATAGAAAAGACTTGAGATTATTTTCACTGTAACTCCTTACATAACTGAAATGCCATGTTCTCTTAGAATAGCTTTTCTCTAAAAATTCCCTCATGTTCATACCGTGGTATGAAAGCTTACTAAAAGAATACATTCTTTTTCAGAATTAAAGAATATAATGCATCTCAAGATCCAGAGTCTAACTTTTTAATAGGTTATTTTTGAAATCTAAATGTTATGACCATTGGTTGCAAGTAAATAGGGAAAAAGAATGCTGGAGAGACAAACAGCTTTTGACAATTGCTGCACAGTTTTGTTTGGAGTCTATTTTTTAACTTCTTTTTTAAGTGCAACTTATTAAGAAGAAAATGGGATTTGTGTAGCAGCGCAGACCAGAATCTATGATACGAAGCCATGCTGAAGGGAATGCAGATTCACTGAGCTTTCTCTTGTAGCAAGTTATTTGAGATACTATCCTTTGCAAATACATGATAAGCTGACACCTTTCAGCACCTATCCCTTGCATAAGATCTTTAGCAAACTGGTCCTGTAAATTGGAGCTCGGAATTTCTGGAGATAGATTTCGCTGTGTGTGTGAGGAAATGGGATACTGAAAAGAAAAAAGTTGGGAGATGATAGTAAAGTTGTTACAAATTTCTATGTGGTGTACTTTAAATATTTTACTTCCCTTCTCTTAGGCTCCCCGTTTGTGAATGCAATCATTCACAAAGGCTTTGATGAAAGACATGCTTATATAGGTGGCATGTTTGGAGCTGGGATTTATTTTGCTGAAAATTCTTCCAAAAGCAATCAATATGTGTATGGGATTGGAGGTGGCACTGGATGTCCAATTCACAAAGACAGATCCTGTTATGTTTGCCATAGGTAAGTTATGATCTTTTACATAAAAGAATCCAATCTTGATTTGCTGGTCTACAACACGGTGTGCAAATTAGCAGATTCTGTGGGAAAAGATTTCCTTGGTAATGAGGCCTTTTTAGCACTGCTATACACTGAGCCTAGCAGAGATGATTAAACAACCTTGATATTTGTATTACAGAACCTTCAGCTATCTTCATTGTATATAACCAAGACTTTGCTCTTAAAAATCAGACTTAGAGAGCAAGGAGGGTCTGCTAGCTGCTTGTGTGAAAAATGTAGCACTATCAGTGTGCTGCCCATTTGATCATCTGTCACAGAGACAGGAAAAACTCAATGATGCTCAGGTGCTGTATTGAGGAACAATTTGGCGCTTTGGAAGAGATCATCTCATGTCACTGCTGCTTCAGATGATAAAATATAGGCATGGATTTATGCAATCTCTGATACTACCAGCATTCTTAAATCCCCTTAAATCCTTGAGTCTGTACCCATATTCACTTTATACTGTTACCATTTTCTGGTACTCTCAAATAAAAATAAGAATCTTCTTGAAGTCTAGAGAATGTCAGTTTAGTCAGGCTGTTAGATAGAAATCTAATGTTAGAGCATCAGGGAACTATGATGTTAGCATGAATAATTTGAGAGCGGGGACCCATAGAAAATTAAAATGGAAAAGGGGAGGGGAGGGAAAGCTCAGTGAAAAATCTTGAGTGCTTTGTTAAGCACACTGTGTTCAGTAAGTATTTGTTTGCTATTAACAGCCCTTTTCTCAGATGGAAGAACTTTTGCAAAGATGCCATAACTTTTGTCCTTCCAAACAAAATTTCAGAATTTTGCAAACTACGGAGAATACCTGAAGTGTTCATAAAGTGTGCAGCTCTCAAGCAACAGTTTAAAATTACAAAGGCAGTCTTTCTAGTGCTATACAAGCATTCTTTAGTCATGATCCTTTTTTCCCTTTCAACACAGGCAGTTGCTGTTTTGTCGTGTAACACTGGGCAAGTCTTTCCTGCAGTTCAGTGCTATGAAAATGGCCCATTCTCCCCCTGGACATCACTCAGTTACTGGGCGACCCAGTGTAAATGGACTGGCATTGGCAGAATATGTCATTTACAGAGGGGAGCAGGCAAGTTGCTTTTTTGGTTTGGATTTTCAGACTCTGTTTTTTTAAGGCAGTGTAGTATGTTGCCTTTTGTGGGGTCTTTTTTGTTTTTGTTGTGTTGTTTTCACTCTGTGTGGTAGAAATAGCTGTTGTCTTAAACTCTAGCTGTGGCTGAAAGTGAATTTTCTTTGTTGTCTGAATACTTGAGGCATTCTGCCATTTGGCATTTTGTCTTTTTCTTTGACAATAGACATATTTTTTTCTTTTACAAATGTTCTGAATGTATCCAGAAAATGTAAACTTAATAAAGAATGTGTGTTACTCTTTCAGGCTTATCCAGAATACTTGATTACTTACCAGATCATGAAACCTGAAGCCACCACTGAAGCTTAAGACAAATTACATTTGAGAAACCATCAGACTTGGATGTGAAGATACCAATGTCTGCCATCCTGTTAACTGCAATGAGTTGTTGGAAAAAAAAAAAAAAAAAAAAATCTTCCATCCACAGGTGGTGTGGTAGCAAATGTGAATAAAATCTGCCGTTTTTGACTTGATAAAGCTTTAATAATGTATAGTATGTTTTTCTAAAATTTCAGAATTGTCCTCTTTTTCAGCACTTTAACAGACACCATTCCAGGCGTAAACTGTGGTTTGCCTGTACTAAATTAAAACAAAAATTAACTTGAAACAATGGTTTTATACAATACTGCGTTGAAATATAACAGAAATTATAATGCTCTATACAGGAAATCATTTTACTAATATTGTGTTCTTTAAAACACTGCATTTACACTGAAAATGTTTCCGTTTGTAAAACTGTAAATAAGAGCTTTTGTACTAGCTTGGTATTTATTTACATTGCTTTGTAATATAAGTGTTCTAGAACTGCAACCTTGTACAAAATGGTTTTTTTTCCAAATGTTGGTTTGTTCATCTGTTTGCTTATGCACAATAGATTTGAAAAGCCAATTTTTTTTCAGGGTTTATAATTTGTTTGGGGGAGAGAAAACAAATTTTATGTGAAGAAGTTTAGAAATAGCCAACTTTAGATTGAATATTCAAATTTTTTTCTGTAGTTTTATTTATGAAATATACATTCCTGAGAACGATAGGCTATGAAAATATTCCAGCTGAATGCTAGGATGTTCTTCCACCTCTTTACTAGAGTCTCGTATTTTTATTTCTGTAAAATGTCTTCTGAAGTTTTTATTTAACTGTAGCGATAGTTGAGCTGTATCCTCACTTCAAGGCTAGTAGACCTTGCAAGTTAGTTTTAATAAATTATTTTCCTTGAATGTAGTTGGCAAATTAACCTCAAGGAGGTCTGTCTCGAGTTCCTCTTGCTTCCATTTAAGCCTGGAAGTTAAATGGTTCATTCCTAATGTGAGGGTGGCAGCTTGGCCTTCTCCATATGATTATTTTGCTAAATGCATCTCCTTGTTAGTGCCCTCAGGATGTGAGTATTGCAAGGTGGAAATGTTGAAACCATCACGTCGTCTCCTGTGTTTCTTCCATGTTCATGTTCAAGCTGCAGTTGAAGCACTTGTCTAGAAGCGTGCTTGCCTGCAGTGCTTCTGAGTGAGTGGAGCTGATGGAGGCACAGCTCAGGGCCCTTGTGCTCAGGCTGCTGGATGAGCAGCGCAGAAGTGGGACCTGCGGTTCTCCCGTGGTGACGGCTGCCCACGGTCCTCTGCTAAGGCACTGCTGTGGAAAAGGAACACCAAAGGTATCGCCCCGTGCCAGGTCACGTTCAGGGTTATTGAATGCGCTGATGGGTTCGGTCGGCCCTCTCATAGCTTTCATGTGTATTCTACTTCTTTTCCATCTGCAGTTTTTGCCTACGTATTTCAAAAATATGTAAATACCGATCAGAGTTCGTTTGTTTTTAACGTGGTTAGGAGTACGTTTGAGTTGTTTTATATTTCTGCACACAGCGTAGTGTCCCGGAAGACAGTTTGGTTGCTGGCCATGTTATCATACCATGGTTTTAAATGTAGTAACTGGTCAAGATAATGAAAACGTCTTGCTGATGTGGTGGTTATGTGATTATGCTCTATGTAAAAATGTATTGAATCTTACCCAGTTATGTGGGGAATCTGAGTAATAAGATTGCATAACTTATCTCTTGCAGAAAGTAACATTGGCTATGAATAAAAAAGGCTTTGATTTTTAGGTACTTTTCCCAGCATGTTGCCTGTTCCTTTGGTGTAGTAACGCTGGAATTGGTGTTCATGCAAAACCTGTTAAGTATGTTTAAAGCTTCTTTGTTATTACTACAATGCTTCATTCTCTATGAATGATCACCTAATGTCTTGTAAAATATTGTGGTATGATAGATTTAAGTGGTACCACAACACTGGTTTTGTCTGTTTGGGGATTTTTTGAGCTGTTTTGGTTGTTTTTTGGTTTTTTTTGCATGACATACCTTGCACTCTGAAGATGGAAGCTGTAATGATTTGATAATATTGACTATTGAGGTGAATCTTTAATCTCGTGTGCAATTAGTTCTGCTTTACTCATCCTAAAGTGTCTTTACATGTACTGTATAACATTCCATATTCATTTAACACTAAATAAACTTAATTCACCGGTTTTCTGGTAGCATGAGTAATTATAGATGTAGTGTGTCAACCCATCGTTTTGAATGTTAGCATGCAAGACAGTTTAACAAACTGCATTAGCAGAGGGGAAATTAATTGCATTAGAGAAGCGTGGACAAAAACCTGTAAATACTGTGGAAACTTGTAGTTTGGTGTATAACTAACTGCTTTAGCTGACAGTGCAGATGTTTTAGTGAGCTGAAGCTTCCATCTACATTTATTACACATTTAAAACTGCATTATCTGGTCCTAAGCTGGAAGAAAATGGCCTCGAATTGCTTCTATAAAATGAAGAGTAGCCTGAAAACTTGGACCTTTCAGGTTAGCGTATTGGTAGCAGTGTGATAAACAACTTACTGATAGCACTAAGTAAATAGTTCTCTTTCAGTAGGAGTGTTTGTGTGGTGGGTGATTTCCAAAACCAGACTTGAACAGAAGGTGTAGACAGAGGCGATCGCTAGATGGCAGGAGAGTAAATCTGTAGTAAGACAGAAGGTGATGAAATTCCTTAAGGTATCTTGGGAATAAAATTACAAAGAAAATCATTTCTGAAAACTTTGCCTATCTGGGTTGTTACCAGAAGCAAACAAAGTAAATTTAACTTTCCATTCTGCATTTTGTAAAGTAATTAGTGTAAAAACAACTGCTTCAACTAAAGAAATTGAAAACGTTAATTTTTTTCAAAACTATATTCATAGTAAGAGTTCAGTTCTCAGAAACAATTTGGGAAGACTCTTCTGCTGTATGTAACTGAAAACTAAGATTTATCCATGCAGTGTGTGTCCAGTGTTCAAGAGCTGTGTTGACACTGATTTTGAGTGGAGTAGATTGTATAAAAGGAGTTGCTCCTGTCTTTTCTACCCTGAACTTCCCCATTAAGCATCGTACTGTGTGTGCCTGTACATGTGTATTTTTGAGCATGCACACACATGCTTTTTCCCTTACCTCGTTCACTACAGAGGAACAATAACACTGGAGCTGCAGTGGCTGAGGATGGTGGCAGTGGGGGCAGTGCTGTAGCTGAAGGTGCACAAGGGGCACGTGCCTCTTGCTGCCCCGTAGGGGAACGGTGCTCTGGAGCAGCACAGGGAGGGGATTTTTACTCTGGCTGTGTGCCTCCCCAGGTGACCAGGAAAAGCTGCAGGCGGCCAGAACAGAGAGCAAGACAAAGAGAAAAAGCACGTAGATGACTGGTTTGGAGTTAATGTGTTCTGCTCTGAAAAGGGGAAGGTTGATAACAGAGAAGACAGGAGGGGAGAGAGACGCTGCCTTTGAAGAAAGAAATGCAAATTGTAAGGGTGCTATGAAGTTAAGGTTATTTCTGTCTCATTTTTGAGTCGAAATGGCAAATAAATGTTGATGCATAGACATTACAGGGATTTCAAAATAGCAGCTCTTGTTAAGAGCTCAAGTAGTTGTAAGGAGAAAATTGCAGCCAATTCAAAACCATCACTTTAGACCTGGGAAGTAACATATGCAAGCAAATTAAATAGGATTCAAAGCCTGAAAGCAAACATCCTGAGTAGTAGTTCTTAAAAGGATTGTTTGGTAAGCAGTATCAGAGACAACTGCCAGTCAAAACAGCGCAGCAGCTCACACCCTTACTCTGTATACCACTGGATGGAAGTAGTCTGGGAGGCATAGTGAAATCATGAAAACAATTTGCAAGAGATACAAGAGTCTCACATTATACGCATAGCAGCTTTTAATAGCCAAGAACCTGCTGCAAGCAAAGTGTTCTGCATTAGGTGTGCCCACTGCCTGCCTCCTGAGCCCTCCCTTCTCCCAGAACCACCAGCTTTTTGAAAAAGGACTTAACTTAGTGTATGACTTAAATGCTTTGTGTATCAAGTTTGGGTTATGTTTACTTTTGCAGGAAGAAGAAGAAGAAGTAATGATATAGTGTTGTGCAATTAATAGCTTAAATGTTGTTAATTGTGTAGTAGGGTGAATTATGTATTACAGATGCTTTATTGTAATATCAATAAATAACATATTTTCATTTTAAAACTATTTTTAAAATAATGTTTAAAATGTCTCCTTCACTGGACTGACTCTGCAGCGCAGGTTTGGGGGATTTGGTGGTTCATTGTCTGCCTGACTGGAACACTGCTACGACAGCAGGGTTGGACTTGCTGAGCAGATTCCTGGTTTTAGATTAACGAATGTTCTCATATAAGTAAGCAGGATAAAATCCCACGTGTTTGTCTCAGAATTTCAGTATTTTCAGAAAAAAGTAATCAGGACTGTATTTATTAATTTAGCAACAAAGATACTGTATAGCTGTGAACTGGAACAAACTCAGGCACAATGTACTTGTCCTTTTGTATCTAATTCTGAAGGTAAAACATAACCAGGAGTTCCCAAGCAAATTAATGGCATATGTCATATAGCTTGAAAAATTTATTCTGATTTCTTCTTTTTCATAGCGCTTATCTCTTTCAACGTAGTGGAATTCCTTTATCTATTTGTACTCAGTCTGGGTAGGTTCCCTCCAAGTGCACTTTTTAACAGTGCTACCTGAAGAGGAGTAACAAGCATTGCTCTGTTATCATTACTACATGGAGGTCAGACCAGGATTCAGAGCGTGGCCTTGCAGAGAAAAGGCTGTGCACACGGCTTGGCTGGAATGGCATGTCCCAAGCTCAGCCCCGGGGGCTCAGCAGGCTGTGTCTGATGGCATGTGGCAGGGATGTACGAGTCCTACATAAAGTGTAATTTCCATCACCTATAGATAGCAGTCAGCCTGAAATTGTATTGATGGAATTCCTGTCTTCCCAGTTGTTTCTCTGCAGCGTTCTCTGTAACTGAGCCTGGTTTATTTTTCCAGCTGAGCTGTATACCAAGGTGTTTCAGTCAGAGCTCAGAGAGCCATAAGATCCAGTGAGAAGCTGAAAGGCATTCCAGTTTGGATGGAAGGAAGTTTCTTACCTAGGAGTAACATGGATGGCTTTCATACAAACATAGCTGCTGTTGCTCTTTACTGTACACACCTGTGAAAGCAAAATAAATTGATCTGGGTTGATAATAAAGAACCTAAATTGCAATGGGCAATTTTCAACTTTGTATTTGAGTAGGATAAATGTGTGTATGTTTTTCTTTGATTTTGAGAACTGTACTTGCTTTGAAGTAGGATATTTTTATTCTTGATGTTAAAAGCATGAAAGTAAGATCATGCCAAAGTTGTTAGGTGTTTTAAGCAGCTTCAGAGTAAGAGGTATCTGCCTCCATGAAGGGAACTATCTCCACTTGTACTTATAGTTTAGAATTCAAGAAATTAAGTTGAGAAGCACATACCACTAATTGTTAAGAACAAGATAGAGTAATCTGCATATTAACGCTGTAAAACGAATGGGAAATCTATAGATCTGTATGTGGAAAGCAGCACAAGGGAGACCACCAGTTCTGACAATCAGTCATTCACATTTCCCACTGTTTTCCCCTATTGTAGCAAAATGTGAGAAGCTGCTCTCAAGGCCACACATACAATGCTCTCTATTGGTCTTTACTGAGGCATGATCAGCATCTATGCTGAAAGTGCCAGCATCAAAGAAGTGCTACTTGATGACATCTGGCAGCCTGGCTTTGCTACAGATAGATTTATGAGCTGTGAAAGATGGTCAAATTAACATCTTCTGCATTCTTGATAGGATTAGGGTTTCTGGGACATGCAGGCATTTGCATATCCCCTGACTTTCCACATTGGCATTGTGTTCGTGGCTCATTTTAATAGATTTCGGTGAGGGGCTTTCTCCCTTTTACATCCTGCTATTTTTCAGTTGCTGTTGGCAGTGACACAGATGTGTTGGTTTAAGAGACCTGGTAGAAATCATACCTCTTGGTCTGACTTCTTCCAGTTAAAATCTTAATCAAGAGCAGCAGCAGCAGTTGCAGTAAACTTAATTTCACTTGAGGAAAGATGTGCTTCACTGGGGATGAGCTTGCATGTGTGTGCACACGTATGCATCAACTTGAATGACCTTTTATCAGAGCAACACTGAAGTTGTTGCTAGGAGTTAAAGAGAGATCTGACCCAAGCTGAGCCCAGAAAATGCAATTCAGAGCATTTACAGAGATGAGGAGAACAGAACTGCTATCAGTTCTCTGTAACAAAGATTTCAAATGTTTGGTGATCTTTAGAACCAGAAGTCAAAAGCAGATGATTGTGCCTCTTTGCTGCAATGAGGGAGTGGGGATGCTCCAAAACTTGGTGCCTTGCTCCACAAAATGGTCAGCACTTCTGGGAGGGGCCCAGGAACAGCTGCCAAAAGCATCTGCCAGGTAACTGCAGGTATTAAAGAAAATAGTAGAAGGCTGTGTCCCCACATGAAGTTTAATGCGCAACCATTTCATCTTGCTGTTAAGCGCCAGTATATCTGTTTTGCCTTTTATGTAGCACCAGTATTTCATTTGGCAGTATGATGGTGAACTGAGCGTTTCTGCTGCCTGTCTATAATGACAGTTTTTGATACTTTTCACTACAGCCTACTGTGGGTTTTCTTGACAAAAGAACAGATTATGCAGACATTTGGAGTAGCAATCCCGCTTTGTTTTCCAATTCCAAATAGTCTTTTTTCTTTTTTTTCTGATCGTAAGCTGTCCCATCCAAGCCTGCCATCAGAGAACTCAGAGAGAATCTATTAGAACACCTTAAAGCTGCCTCAAAAAAAAAGCATTTTGTACCTGCTTTCTTCCCATGTTTTCTTCTTGGGTTGCAAATTTTTTATGGCATAAGGACTGTCTCTACTCAGATGTATGCAGGTAAGCCCTTCAGGTGCTCCTGTAATACAAGTGATAAGCAAATCTCTCCATTGTCAGACCTGCTGCTCCATCTTTTTGTCTTCCAGGGAGTTTATCTGATCACTGCTGAGTGACACAACCCAAGTCCTGTTTCTCTGATGACTGTGGCATCAGTCTTTCTGCAGCCACTAGGAAATGTGCGTGCGGAATATGGAAGCTACACTGGGTCACCTTGATTGTTCTGTCTGATTCTGTCTGGTGATGCTAAGGGACATGCTGCTGTTAGCTAATTTCAAATCACTCTTTCTTCAGACTAGGTTTACGGAAAGATAAATGAATGGATCTTTGTGAACTCCTAATCACCTTCAGTTGTAAGACTGAACAGCTTTTATGCTGTAAACTTACAGTTTTCAGAGTTTTCAGCAGTTCTGTTGCTGAAAGCCATGCTTGCCTGGCTTTGGACCCTCATTTCATCTCCTGTGTGATGATCTCCCTGCTGAAAGCTCACTCACCCTTTAAGTTGGGTTGGATCCCTCATCTTGTTTGTAATAGAGGTGCATAAACACTTGAGCTGACATTAAAAAAAAACAAACAAAACAAAACAAAACAAAACAAAACAAACAGGGAAGAGAAAAAAGACAGGAGAAGGACAAGGCTGGCTCTTTCAACTGTAAGGCCAGCTTCTGCTGGGGCTGATGGCATAAGCAATGCTCCTCAGCCTTGGCTTGCCAGTGAGAGATAGCTTGAGTTCATTGCATGAACATGTGGTGAAAGGGATTTCCAAGGTGCACAAAAAAAATGGTGCACAACATATCACCTTTCAAAGCTTACAAATAGTAATCGTATGTACTTAGCCCTTACCTGGATGCGTAACACTAAAAACAAATTAGCTATTCATCTTCAGGAAATAACCACTTTTTCTAGCACCATCTTCTGATCCCCCCACTCCAGCTTTTGCACTCACTTCCATCCCAATTTAAAGTTAGATGATGTCTGTTCTCCAGAGCTGGCTAGCATGGCTTGGCCATGTAGGGGCTTCATGTCCTGCTGGAAGCAGCGCCAGGCAATTTGGGCTACCTCTGCCAGCCTGGTGCTCTCAGAAAGAGTCAGCCCAAGGCCTCTTGGTGGCCCAGTGCTGTGTTGTCCCCACGTGTGTGTCCTGCACACAGCTGGCCTTCACTGTAGAACTGCCTTCATCTTCCAGAGAGATGGGAGACCCTGTCTCCCTTAGATCTACAATAACTTCTTAAATCAAAGCATTTTTTTGTTTGTTTGCTGGTGCTGTTCTGCTGTTCTGCTGCATGACTGAGGCACTGTCAAGTTGTTGGCTATGGGTTCATTGCAACAAACCGTCACATTACCTCTGCTGTTTACCATGGACTAATAAAGATTTCAAAAGCCCCCAGAAGCTATTAAGATGCCGTTGATATGCACATCTCTGGCTGGCTGTGTCGGCCGCGGGAGCGCGCTCATTGGCCCCTCGCTGGGTGGGATGACATCAGGCCCTGCTCTCAATAGGGCCTTCAGTTTGCCTCAATGTCTGCTGAGGGCTGCGAGAGAATAGAGCGGAGGGGAGAAAGCGTCCACGCTACATGGCCTTGAATCCAATAAAAACACAGGCAGCTTCAGCTGGGGATAATAGAACTTCAAAAAAAAAAGAGCGAGACCGTAGTCTTGGAGCTGCTATTAGCAGGGGATGAATCGCAAGGGACCATTTCATGCCAGGGTACTTTAGAGAGTAGAATCCCAAAGAGCCATTAGCTCTCAGTGAGAGTCGTGTTGAAGCCCTTTGCTGTCAGGACAGAAGCATGCATATAAATTTTATACCATTTGTCTTTGAGCAGAGACAAAAGATCAGCTCTAAACCCTCAACATCTTGTCTCAACTAACATGAAATAATACTCTCTTGTGTGGCTGTCTTGTTACCTTTTACCCATCAGAAGAAAACGTGATAAATTTATTCACAATATCCAAAGGTTTTGCTCTTAAAATTAAAAAAGGAGATGAAAATGCAAGGAGTTGAGTCTAGATTTATTCCTCTTAGTACAAATCATATTGCTGTTAAGGGTGGCGACTTTGGAATGAAACAGCACTTTGTTTAGTTGAAAAGAAATACAGCTTCAAAGTCAGCCACTGGGGTTTCATCCACAGCTTTTCACTAACTTAACTTAGAGGATGATGTCTCTTATATTCTCTAGTTCCAAATACAATCTTAAATATATACATATATATATTTCTGTCAGACTTTTTGTTCTTTCAGTTTAAATCATACAGAGGTTTTGGGACCTGAGACCTTCACTTAGTCGTGCAACAGAAGATGCTGAGTGCAGTAGGTTTGCTCAGACTAAACAGTGCCTCTGGTTACGATTTACAGAAAAAGATGCTTTAAAAATTTTTGCTTTGAATTCAGTTTGTTGTGTGTGCTGAAATAGATCAATTCTGTTTTAGGATTTTGAAGTCTTTTGTTAAAGAAAAAAAAATCTTTTCTATATATGTTCTGTGTTAAAGAGGTATTGTATTCCCCTTGATAGTTACCTTATCTTCAGTACTTTGTCACCATGTAATAAGAAATGATGCGTGGCACTGAGGGACAGGGTTAACGGGCATGGTGGTGATGGATTCATGGTTAGACTGGATGGTCTTTTCCAACCTACAGCGTAATTCTGAGTTTGCCATGATCCTTTCAGCAAACATTCTCTCATTTTATGACAGTTTAAATAGAGAATAGTGGAATATTAGAGTCTCAAATCAGTAAATTCCTTGCTATACAAGGAATAATTATTCCTGCATTTCCTCTGAGAGATGATCATAAAACTTCTTTTGTTGATCCAATAGCTCTGCAGTGGGTGTAAAACTGAAGTAACATCAGAATTATTCATTGTGGTTCATTTATGACAGAACACTTCTGAATGGCACAAGACAAAACTGAACAGATGAGCTCTACATACTCAACAGTTTTACACGTTTGTTCTATCACATTTCCTAGAACAAAGTATGAGACAGCTGCTCACACAGCAGTAGTGCTGGCTCCAGGTAGCAGAACCCTCTTCCCAACATGCACACTGGCAGAGAGCAGTCAGGAACACGAGCATCCAAGCAGAGTATGAGAGCCAGCAGCGAAGTCAGGGCTCTGGAACACGGAGATACATCACGTTGTTGCTGTCAAATAGGCATCTGTGTGTTCCTCTGGTGCTTCAAGACTACACGGGTGGGCCCACAGCACTTGTCACAGGGGGTATACGGCTCTGCAATGGGAAGGCTGGAGCCAGGAGTGGGATTGCAGCACGGCGGGCAGGCCAGGCCGCTATTCACCACAGGAATGCAGACTGGTCTGCTGCCTCTTGCTGTCCCTCTCATGCCCTCGTCCCCTCCAGGGACACATGGCAGCATTAACCTCTCGAATGCCTGAAATAAACTGGCAAAATATTTGCCTTTGCAGCAGCCAACACAGAGCATATGCATTTCCCAAAGTATGGCACATACGAAGCGAGGTTAAGCCCCAAAACTTGGAAGCGTTTCTAAAGCTGCAGATATTTTATGTGTGATTGTACTCAGATCCCACCCACTTAACGAAATGTTGTGAGGGCCGGGAGAGTTAATCTGAGCTTTGGAATACTGTATGGGTAAAAGCCTCTTTCATGTAACCACATTAATGTACTGAGCTTGGAATTCTTATAAATCCAAATTATTACAAAGGAAAGGGTTTGGTGTTTGGCAAAACCACAAAGCCTGCCATTCACTTGCATGGCTTTGCTTTGCTTTACAGTGGGCTTCAGAAAAGAGCTCAAGGCACAAGAGAGAGACTGGAATACATTGAAGTCATTTAAAGAGAAATTCCCAGAGATTTAAGGTTCTTTTATCCAACCCACTCTCACTTGCTTTTTTGTTCCTCTATCTTATTATTTGTTAATAGTTGTTTTTAAGTTGCACCACAAGTCCCCACAGACACACCATCCTTCTTTGGGATCCCCCCAGTGCAGATTGTGCTCAAACCCGGGTAGAAAACAACAATGTCAAATAACCACAGGTGTCACAGAAACCCAACACTACAGCCTCATCTCCTTTTCTAAAACCCGATTTTCCACAAACAACTAAAAGAGATTCTGCAGGTGGCTGAGGTTTTACCAGGCCTGGAGGAGGAAGGTGGACAGCCTTTTCAGTGGTGCCTTGTGGCCCTGGAGCAGTTCTGATATGCTGAGAATGCAGAAGGCAGTGCCTGACAAGTCAAATCTGTATTTAAAGTATGCCTATGACAGCTCAATAACAACAGCACCTTAAATTGCAACTTGTACTCTATATATTGCAGTATATTGGCACGCATTGGCTTGTTTTCAGTTTCCCTCTTAAAAAACAAGGATAGATAGATGTTCCTTCAAAGCAAGAGCTAGAGTTGTCCACATAGTGCAGAACCATCTTTTGCGGATATTGGACTGCTCTCCCACCTCGTTCCAGACTTAACCTGTAGGTGTCAAACTGACTTAGAGAAAAGGAAAAGCTTTAAGGCAACTCACAGCCATGGTGAGCCCTACAGCAGACATTGCTGTGGATATCACTGCTATGTAAAACACTGACAGATGCCTGTTCTTAGCTCTGCTCGGTTACTGAAGAAAGATTTATTTCATGTATTAACCTTGTGGCATCACTTTACAGGCAGGGATTGTTGCAAACAACAAGACAGCCTGCTGTGTTTTTAACCTCACAAATTAGAGTAACATGTTGTAATTCTACCTCCAAAATCAGAAAGTGGTGAAAGAGACTTTCAGTTTGCTATTAATCACGGATTTCTATTTGTAAAAACCACAGGTAAAGCCAGCTATGTTACAAACATGCCCAGATTCAGCATTATTGATATTTCTCCTAAGGAAAACTGATATTGTAATTCTGTTAGAAACTCCAGACACTGAGATACTTGTTTATTTGTATAACCTCACTGAACACATGTGAATTCAGACTAGTTGCCACCTTTACTGCGCAACCAAAGGAAAGAAAACAATTTTAATTGCTTACAATGTGGGGCAAAGATGATTTTTTTTAAATCCTGAAAACTTGAAAGAAGTTCCATCCTCTGGAATTCAAAATCCAGAAGCTAAAAAGCAAATTGATTTTTTATTTTTAAAGATAACTCATGCTTTTCCTTGAATGACAGCTTATTATCCTGGTAAGTTTAGCTGGAAGCAACCTTGTGAGAGTAACAGCACCTGCAGCTGCCTGTGGGGAGGTGCCCTCTTGTTAGTGGAGCCTGGGATCACCTGCCTGTGGGACAGCACAGCTTATAAGGCCTGTGGGGTAGAGCAGCTGGGCTGGGTTGTGGTATTGTGGTCAGGTTGCTTGTTGATGTAGGCCCTGGCCAGAAAGAACTGAAGAGGGAAGGATGAGATGGCAGGAGCCATCTAAATTAGGAATCAGGGAGGTGGTGAAGGATGGGCCTAGCTGCAGTGGGAGAGCAGAGGTAAGGCTGGCTGCAGCATGGGCCTGCGCAGGCTTGGGTGCCTGGGTTAGACTGGGGGGATGACAGGTTTGTGTTGCGGGGTTGGAAAGGAATGGATTCTGGTGGAGGTGAAGATATTAGCTATAAATTCTTCCTGTGCTTGGTTGGCTTAATGGCTACAGTCAGCTACCATCTAATCATAGGAGAAGGATGACAATACTATTGATTGAGGAGGCATGAATCTACACTGCTTAAAAACAGTTCTATGGATCTGACTGGTTTTTTATCCTTTGGGATCCACAATACCCAAGGTACAGAAATTTGGTATTTGTTGCTACTTAACTCTGGACATTGGTATTATTAACCATAGATTAAATGAACATGGTCTCCTGGATTGTTATATTTCGTTATTTTGTGATGTGCAGGAAAGGCTTTGTGCTCTTTCAGAGAGCAAGGAGGGTAATGCAGTGAAGCACTGAGCAAGGATCCTCTTCTTTCTCTTCTTCATGGGGCAAGACATTGTATTTGCTCAGAATTCCTAGTTGGTTTTGTAAATGAAGTGTGATGTGGATTAGCAGATCAGTTGCCATGGTGTTGCACCTTTGCGTCTGATAGTATGAAGCACAAGCTCTAAAGGCACTGCACGAAGCTGCTGTGCCAACGCCATGGAAGTAAAACAAAGCTGCATATTATTGCAAGAGAGCATGCAATGCTATGGCCACTAGCCTGCTACATGGCTGGCTGAGTATTATAAGGGAAAAGTGAGACAGATTATTTTTTTAAAAGTGCAAATTATGCATTGACAGTCAGCCTTTTGCATAGTGCTGCTGAGCAGTATCCAAGCTACTTGCTATGAAGAAAAATACCTTGGGACAAAGAGATGTATGCAACAGCCTCCCACAGCCCTCTTGTGGGAGCCGCTTGGCAGATCCTTATTGCCTTGTGGTGGTTTCCTCCCAGCTGCCCTCAAAACCAGAGCTTACAGGTGCTCCCACTTATGGCTGCACAGAAGCACCTAAATGTATCTCTGTGGACAGCCAAGGAAGGCTGGCTTGTTGAAATTCTGTTCTAACTCAGTGGCATTGTGTATGTGGACTGCTGTGCTTATCTGTGTGATGGGACCACATTTGAGATCCTAACAAACACGCTTAGCTGTAAGAATCAAGCCTCTGTGATGTTACTTCCCCTGTATGAAAAGGTAAAATTCTGTCTACTGTTGTAAATAATGCAGAGTGGCCATGTGTTGTAGAAATTGCTGTTCCTTTTCTTGTAGGATGAGAGCAGGATGTCTAAATGAAAAAGCAAGACTGAAGAAAACCTGAACTATCTCCATCAAAATGTACTGGAGTTCTGCTTCAGTAAGTGGATGAAGTGTTCAATATCTCAAACCCCTCCTCCACCTTTGTAAAGCAATTTGCTTCAAAGAAAAGATGCTTATGTGCTACAAGGACATTTCTGAAGGGAGACAACTAGAAAATCAGCCTAATTCCTTCTGTTTTGCTCTTACTTGTGCTGAGTGCAGGAAAACAGATAGTTAGGAAAATCTTGCAAGGTTTTTGCAGGACCTGGGGTGCTCTGGTGCCTTTGGCCCTCAGTGGGTGGTTTGAGCAGGCAGGGGCTGCACCTGTGTTCTAGGCAGCATCTGGATGGTGTGGCTGCAGCTGGTGGGAAGCATTTGTTATCTTATTGGCCATGAGTAGATAACATTTCCTAATTAAGTGGCAAGAATATATATATATATCATGAACACATCTGTACTTTTAGTTTTCAGCAATTTGAGGGGAAAAAAAAAAAGCCTTTTCAGTGCATGTCTCTTGATATTCTGTATAATCCAGATGCAATGTGAGAGAGTATTTTATTGTGAATGGGAATGCAGCTTTGGTGATAGCTCATTAGCTAGGTAAAACATCATTCACTTCCGAAGCATCGTTTGGAAGAAACTCTTCTGCTGTGAGTCTTTTCACAGCTGTTCTCTCAACTCTGCCTGCTTACATCTGACCTGATCTGCTCTGTGGGAACATGTCTGGGCAGCTTGTTCTGTGTGTGATAGATCTGTGGGAGCAAGGCAGCTTTACTAGGGCTACGCAGTAAAATCTTTGTGCTGTATTGTGGTACCCATGGCTTTTAGCTGGACAGTTTCACTGTGCCTTGAACCTGTTATATAAATTTGTGGTTATTTGTTTTCCGTATCATTTTCAGTGTGCTCCGTGCTGCACACCTCACCAGCTCTTGGCAGCCACTCGCCGCTGTGCTGCAGGCTCTGGGGAGAAAGGAGTTACGCGAGTTTCCAGAGTGTTATCAAAGTCGGCACTTTATTGGAGAAAGGTTTAAAAAAACTGACAAAGTGGAGGGGCGAGGGGCTACGAGGGCCGAGCGGCTCGGCTCAGCCCTGCCAGAAGCCGGCGAAGAAGGCGCACAGCGAGTGCCAGCGCTGAGCGCAGTAGGTCTCGGCCAGCTGCTCGGGGGAAGGCTCGGCGGAGGCCGCGATGGGGCCGGGCGGCACCAGGCGCAGCTGAGCCTCGGGCGGCGCTCGGCCCGGTCCGCAGAAGCGGGCGCTGAGCGGGCCGCCCTCCGCGCAGGGCCGGCGGCGACGGCGGAGCCGGGCGACGATCTGCCGCCAGAACTGCCGGCTGCGCGCGCCGTAGGCGGGGCAGCGCCAAGGCTCTCCGCGATACACGCAGCTCTGCTCCGCCCCGCGGCCCGACGGCGGCCGGCAGCTCAGCCGCAGCTCGCTGCTCCCCGCTGCCCGGCGCACCTCCCAGCCGCACCGGTGCTGCTCCGGCGTGGAGAAATGCCCCGACGGCGCCGCCTCCGGGCCCGGCCCGCCGCCCGCGGCCCCCAGCGCGGCCAGCGTCAGCAGGGCCAGAGGCAGCCTCATCTCTCAGCGCCGCGGGTGCCTCCTCCGGTGCCTCGGCGACGGCGCGGACCGGCAGAGGACCCGCCGCATGCCCCGCGCCCTGCGGGGACACGCGGCTGTCGGGGGGCGGCCGTCCCGCTGCTGGGGACCGCGGCCCCGCTCTCGGCTCGCCTCAGCCCTCTTCCCTCCCCTTCCCCCCCCCCCTTTCTCCGGCAGACCGGGAGCTCTCGGCATCGGGGCTGCCAAACGCAGCTGGAGACCGAGCCGCTCCCTCCCCTCATCCCGCCATGGCACCGCTGACCCCCAGCTCCCCGGGAACTCACGGTGCGCGGCGGGCAGCTACGGGTGCGGGGAAGACGAGGCGGCGGCTGGCGGCGGCGGGGAGGGTGCGGGCGTTATCAAGGGCCGGGGGCTGTCCCCCTGCCCCCGCTTCCCACTTTCCCCGACGCCCCTCCCCAGCCGCCGCCCCCGGGGATACGCGGGGCTGTCCGGGGCTCCCGGCAGTGCCCGCCCACTCCGCTCGGCGTTCTTGGAGCTCTGACGGCCTGGCCGGGGGGTCCCGTCCGGCGGCGGTGGTTCTGCAGGCACGAGTTATGGCTTCAGAAGTATCGAAGTGGGGAATTCTAGGACGGTTGTTTTCCTTAGCTTGGGAATTTTATGTACAGATGCGTGCGTTCCTGCGTATACCTACACCATCTCTCCCCGTCGATGGGGCGGTCCGTGAAGCGGTGCCGTTATCCCGAGGCAGAGCTGCCGGCGGAGCTCAGCCCGGCTGTGTCCCCGCGGCTGGGAATAGCCCGAGGGGGACACCTAGTGACACCTTGGTGTCTCACGTCTGTAGGAGAGACGTGCGAGGAAGCGGTGCCCTTGGAAGCCAGCTGCACCCAGGCACGTAGATATCGGCTTTCGCACATTGGTTATAGGGCCTCTGAGCCTGGCTCGCGGGCAGCTGCCCTGGTTGCTGAGAGCAGAGATCTGGCTTGGAGTGGCAGCACTGGCAAAAGCATGCTTTAGTTACCCTGGGTCTTCAGGGATACCAGGCATCCTCTGATCTTTCCTGATTGAGCTGTTCTGCTTTGAGCAAGTGCTGTCCAGCAGGATTCAATGGGGAAGACTGATACTGACTTGTTTGTCATTAAGTCCTTAAAAAGAAAAGAAAAGAAAAGAAAACAAAACAAAAAAAAGAAAAAGAGAAAGAAAAAAAAAAAACAAAAAACACTACATTTCTGCAGAGATTGAGCACAACTGCCCGAAGTGTGGGGTTTGGAGTTCTTTCTCCAGTTCAGGGGAAGATTAGGGAGTGGTTCCATTTCCCAGCTACAGCAAGAGCTGACATTGCTCTTCCTGTTTGATTGTTTTGGGAATAGGAAACAGCAGGGGAGAGAGGGTCTGGATAAGGAAATACGATGACAATAAACCATAGCAGAGACTTTGCAACCAGAAATTTCAAGTAGAGGCCAATAGCTCCTTTCCTGGAAATACGTATATACCTACCTCTGCAGGACATGACTTAGCTGCTGTTAGCTGAGCACAAGATGCTCTGCTTGGCATGTTGGGTTGAGCAAATCCCTTTCATAGGCACTGAGGACCTCCCATGGATTGCAGGCGGAATCTTGGCATCCAACCTAGGGATGTGGGTACCGTGAGGCACCATAATGCACTGCATTGTGACTATTTAAGATCCTCTGTGGCTCCAGGGAGCATAAGGCATATCATGTGCCTTAGCTTATTCGTCCACCAAACCGTGGTGCTGCATTCAGATTAAGGTCCAACCACCTGTAATTGCTATATTCTATTACACCGAGCTCCTTTTCCATTTTTCACATTCTTAATATCATTTATGCAACGTGAAATGAGGTTGTCCCACATTTGGGATCACTTTTAAAGCAGGTTATCTTAAGTATATCAGATTTGGAGGGAAATAACTGATTTAATGAGCACTTTATTGTTGCACTTTGCTTTGGACAGGTTTAAGTAACATACAAGTTATTACTGATCAGGAATTGAGGAAATAAAAGGAAACAACGAAAAACTGCTTAGACTTCCTATGTGGTAATTGTATCTTCCCTGATGTTTTTTTGCTGTGTTCTCCTGGTACGTATTTGCACACTTTCCTCCATTATTGAGACTCAACTTTTGTGGTAAAGCGGATGTTAGTTCTCAGTACTGATTACTTCTCTATTAATTCTCCTGCAAGTGCTGCAGTTTTCTCTTGGTTTTGATGAACGTGTGGGGGGAAAAAGAACACCTCTAATTTCTTACTGAAGTCTCTGTATCCCTTTGTTCTATTTGCAGTTAGTAATAATAATAATCTAGCCCATGTTTCTGCTGTGGTTTGGTTTTGAATTTCCTTTCCTCCCCCTCACCTGTACACCAGGACAGAAATACTTGCTTTATATCTATAGAGAACCTGAAACCTCTTGGAAGTTAATGGCCCTGTCAGACTGATGTAGGGAGAAACTGGAAGGATTTACAGTTGTGCTGGGTTAGATTGCAGTTTGGAGTCAGGCTCGAATCTGGATTAAGGCTGACATAAGCACTCCCAAAACAGTCTAAAGCATGGGAGTCAGGTCAGTGCAGAGAATCATAGGATACTGGTCTGTGCATCTCCAGGATAAGGAAAGCTGACTGAATAACAGCTCTGCAGAAACAAACCCATGTAAGGCTTCGGAGAATCACAAGCTGAAGCAGAGACTTTTGTGGTGTAACTGTGAAAGGCAGGTGGAATCAAGGGTATCACTCAAGATGCTTGAAGCTAGCCCTTGACTGGGATGTCGTATACAGTTTTAAGGACTGATCTTAAAGATCAACAGGACTGAGGGCAGAAGCACAGTGAGTATGCTACAGACCTAAAGAATATGACTTCAGGTGAATTATTTTAAGCTGTGGGTTTATTAACTTAAACAAGAAAAGAACTAAGAGGAAAAACATAGCAATAGAAGATGTTCAACCACTGCATGAAGCTGTCTCCTTATACATCTTTCCATTTCAGAAGCACAGTCCATAGCTTTAATCAGTTATTTTACTAGTGGGTTATTTTACCAGTGGGTGAATTATCCTGTTTTTTTTTTGTTGTTGTTGTTGTTAACTCTTTGGACAAAAAAGGATTCTTCCATGTATAGGCTATTTCACCCACATAGAAGATAGCATACAGGCAATCATGTTAGGGTTCTGACTTCAGACTGTGGATCTTTCAAAATTCAATTGAGTTCCAGTTAATGGGAAAAATGATGCTTATTCTTCTTACTGTACAAGAGTGCAGCAATAATTATTGCAAAAATAGACTTGCTTTGTGGGTGTTAAGTAGCCACAGCCTCTAGGCCTGTCATCCAAAGTTCCTTTTCAGAGAAGTAGGTGGTGTAAAGAATGATGATTCGTAGATCAGAATTTAAATACACTACATGAACATAGCTGTGTTTAACCTACTTGTCTGAGATGCCAGTCTTCAGATTTCTTGCTTTTGGCTCGAGAGAATAAAATCATGTGGTAATAAATGTTGTCTGCAGGGAGGCAAGTAATTGAGAATCTCACTCTGCTTTTGTTGAGAACAAGCCAAGCTCTGGATGGTATAAAAGACAAGAAGTGGTGGCTGAAGAGCCATGGGGAGACAGGTGTCTCAACTTTTCCTGGCAGAAAGGCAATTTAGGCCTACCCAGCATGGTGCCCAGCTCTCCAAGCTATAGGGTACTTCAGAGCAAAGTCACTAAGCGTGTTTCATTTTTCTTCCAACACAAGCTGGTGAATAAGCATGGTTACTGGGAGGTATCGTAAGATTATTTGAACATTAATGTATTATTATCAGATTTGACTTGCAGACAGTTGAAATCTGGATCCTGTTTCCAAGAGTACAGTGGGATTAAAATGAAACAAGAACTTTCTTGTTGAAATTTTGTTTTCTTCTTAAGTCTCTTCTAGAACCTACTGAAGTGCTTCTCCAAGATCAGAGTGAAGGCTTTGTCTGGGTTTACTGCCTGGTTGTGGGCCAATTCTTTTCTTCCATGCCAATAAGATTCCAATAAGTTCTACTCAGCCTGTCATTTAAGAAGACTGATTTTTGCAAAAATTACAGAAATGTTAAGAAAAATTTGTAGCACTGATCAGAGATTTGAAGACTTACAATTTCTTATGCTGTAGAATCTGTTTAAAATTTGCCTGTCAGTTACCAGGTCATGCTGCTGCTGCTGAATACCGTATTGGTGGCATTTCAGAATCACCCCAGACTACGATGCTGCCCCTAATTCATTGGCTGTAAAAAAAAATAAAATAATATATAGACCACCTTTTCCATTTCTCACTCCTGCAGGCTTTTTTTTTTTTTCCCACAAGCTGATCTGAGTCACACATCTGTTGATCTCCAGTGCTGTTTTTCACAGTGAAATTCAGGAGATCTTTGTGATTTGGATTGTTGGTAGTGATTCCACTGCTCTATAGGAATC